ATCCCTTCCCATCCACATGTTCACTGGCCCTCCCCTTCACTTCCCCTTAAGGGTCTGTGCTAGTGAGAAAAGGACATTGATGGACATGTGTCAGACCTTTCAAACGTATTTGATTTAAGAGACAGAAACTGAAAAAGATGATCTGTCAGTGGACTGCCAATTATGCGCAAAACTAGTGACCTTTCGTTCTCAGAATATCATTCATAGGCATTTGAAAATAGATCTGTCCTATATTCAGGGTCTTTTTCCTTTGTAATTGCTAGTATTCTATTTGTTCAAAGAAACGGGAATTACCTATTCACATTAACGCAATGTATTTCTGCTAATTTTACTGGAGTCCAGTTTTTCAAATTTGACATAAAAACTTAGCCCATAGCATTCAGTTTTGAACATTTACTTTGACAGTTTCTATTTACGTTTGCTTTTAGTCTAAGAATTCTATTGAAATTTAAAAAATAATAAACTTAATCTCCATGGTTTGCCTGTCAAAACAAAAACAAATAGCAACAAATTTGACCAAAGGCACATCTCCCATAAAAGTAAGCTGTCAGCTGAGAGGTTGAGACTCATTGTTTATGCTTTTTACCTAACTTTGGCAGGAGATGGATATGTTTATGGCCTTGATTGTGGTGATAGTTTTGCAGGTGCACCTTTACCCCCAAACTCTTCAAGTTGTATACATTAAATATGTACAGCTTTTTACATGTCAATCACACCTCAAAAAGTGGTTAAAAAAATGCTTGTGGGAAATGGTATTGAGACCAAAGATTAGGAGGCACTTTGGATTCTGTTTTCAATTTTCAATTCTCAGCTAGATTTTGGGCATACAAGCTAAGATCCATGGTTCTGCTAGAAACATCTCAGAGGCCCTTAAGCGAAAACCTTGTTAACTTTTTATTTATCATTAATCAATAAATGTTAATAAATGAGTACATAACATAAAAGGAATATAAGGAAAATATATTTTGTTCAATGTAAGAATTTATTATGAAAAATGTTTCTGAAAACTAGAGACAAAACTTAAAATTACAGTATTCAATTAAAAAACAATTGAAGTCTTCACAGGCTGTCACAGTCAAATAATACGATGAAATCAAATACATAAGAAACCTACAAAGTTATTTTAGGAGTTTCACTGTCTAAACACCCAGAGTCCATACTGTTAGTGACTATGGTAAATTGTCATGGCATATGCTGTTACTGCCTTTTACTTTATAGTCTAACAACCAGGAAGGAACAAATGTGCAGAAAGGTGTTTTAATTTCTATTTTGGCACAGCTGGAAAAGGAGCCTGGGACTGAAATTTGCCATATTTCCCTGTCATCTGAGAGAGTTTCATGAAAGCACAGGCATTGTTTTGGGTTTTACACAGAATCAAGGATGTGGAGCAGATACTGCTTTCAGTGCACAAGTGGGAAAAGTAAGGTTAATGAGACGGAGTGTCTGAGATGGTGTATAATGAGACGGTGATGGTGTGCGCGGCAGGACGGCAAAGCTTGTCTCGCTGGAGCAGCACTCAGAACTTGGGTGCTTTGCCGAGTCCTGTGGTTTGAAGTATACCAAGGGAAAGTGGAGCGCTCACAGATACTGAGAATGAAGTAAAAAGGTTCCAACAATCAGCAATCAAGTTTCAAAAAATGGCATTTTAATGTTTCATTAGCCAGGTTATCTACACACTTGCTTAAAGAAAATAGAGTGATAATTGGATAAAAAGGACTTTATTAGTCATCCAAAATTTTGAAAGAGAATACATCTTTGTAAAGTGGACATCATAGGAGGTGCAATGTTTTTGTTTCTATTTATATGTTAACTTGAATATTTTTAAAGATGACTTCTCCGAGAGTAAGAGTGTATGTAGAATAGAAAAAGTTTAGTACGTAGCCTATAAACTGTTATTGAGAGCTAAGACTTAGAGCCTGTCGTCTCCAAAAATAAAGAGAGGAGGAGGATCCTTTCGGAAATCACGTCACCAAGAAATACTGGTATGTTTTCGTAAACATGCTATACCAGATAGGAAATCAAGAGCCCTAATCCTTACCGAGGTCTAGTGTAACTATCTTTGCGACCTTGAGCATGTTACTGATCATTATATTAATTTCTTCCTTTGCCCTCCGGCATACACAAACGTCCCGAAGGAGCATATTTGTTGTGCCCTCCTGAACTTCTCCACACTGTGCCGAGTATAAACGATTTCAATACTTCTCAGTCTTTCCAGCTGATAAAATTCAGTTCTACGTCAGGTTTTAACACCTGGACATGAAACCCCAGTCTCAGCTCTTAGCCAGCTGCGGGTGAGATGTTAGGATGCGGCAGTACACCTCCACAATGAGTCGCTTACCAGTTTCTTCTGATGCATTACCCTCTGCTGCACATCATGTTGCAAACTTAAAGTGTAAGGTAGTTCGGCAGGTCTGACTTACATCCACACCATTGACTTCGTTTGTCATTTATATGCTACAAGATGGTTTAAGTAATTCGATTCTTCCTTACACTTTGCTGACAGCTCACATCTGTCAATCAAGCAAGCTTCAGTCCACCAGATCCCGAAATAGGAATTGCGCACAAAATAGGACAAAGAAGAGGGATGGCAGAGTTATTTGTGTGGACCAACTGGCCACTCATGGACTATTCTGGCAGGTAGCCTGCTCCCCATATGGTAAAACACACCCATTTGCGATGACGACATGGAATATTTCAAAGTTCTCCCTGTCGTGGACAAATAAATCAAATTTTTCCTGCCCTAATTTTTCCCCCCAGCTGATAGATACAGCTGAATCTCCTGGTAGAGCTTCCAAAATAAATAGGAAGGAATATAAATAGATGTTTCTGACTGCAACTGTATAGGACTAAATTCTAAAGGACTAATTCTATGGGGCAGGACTAAAAAAAGTGCACGAGCAGATTTAGAGTATTTCTAGACATACCTCTTACAACAACGTAAGAAACAATCCAGTTTTCCTGGTTGGAGCTCGTGGAATCTTTATTGTTAACAAGCATTTTTATTGCCTAGTACTTTAATGGCCCTGAACCAGTGGAAGAATGGGAACTCAGCATTCCTGCATGCCTTCCAGGTAATGCTCTTGCAAACTGAAGTCCCAGAATGGGTGGCAGTAATGAGAGCATTCGAGTCTTCTACACCTCTCCTCTTGCCATGGGCAAGAGGGGCCACCAAGGAGAGTTCTAACCCAGAGTTTTAGAGCAATTGGTGTGAAACTCGAGATTCTAAAACCCCTCCTCCGGCCATTGTAAACTCAGAGAACAATCCCTTTCTCAACCGGCAGAGAGAAGGATGCAAACGGGTCTCATTGTTGCTGTGACAACAACTGCTTCTCTGCCAGAGACTCCTTTTGCTTTTTCTTCTTATCTCCAGCCAGAGCCTTCTCCTGAGCTCCAAACCCATGATGGCAATTGCTTTGTACCTTTCCTCTTTCTCAGCCACCATGCAATTAGGCTATATTATGGAAAGCTGGGCCAAAATATAAAAACACAAATAAAAAAAGGAGAAGCTCAAGTAGGGCAGTTGAGCATTTGGGATCTGCTGGGTTTCCTAGTAGAGGTGTTCAGTAAATGGCTCAGTGCCTTCCACGCATCTTGCCTAAGTGGTTTTCTCTACTCTCACTGCAAAAGAGTCTGATATTGTTTTCTGGACTATCTCCCAAGAGAAACATAAGCACAGACACAAACACAATGCTGTCTTTAGCATTCGGGCCGAGGACACATCTTGCTGCGTATGAGGGTTCCATACAAGGCAACTGCTTCTATCTCCTGGGTTTGGCATGCAACTCCAGGTGCCAGAGGGGCCTATGCGGTTGTCTTCCAGGTTATAAAAATAATGTGTCTTCCCAGTTTATTAGATTCCCTCCTAGTAGGTAATTCCTGCTATTTCAGTGGGTTTTGTTACAATTTTATTGTGAACGCAATGCGCTCTGGAGCCTTAAAAATATCTGCCTATGCTCCATAAACATGTTTGTGGTTCTTTTTTGACTCAAAAGAACTTGAGTCTTTCTTATACAAACTCAGGTTGTCTTAAAAAAGCAGAGAACATTATTCTACAGCACTAAAAGGGACCCTTGTGATCCTCTATTCTGCCCCACACCTTCCTCCTTCGTACCGAGAGGATATCGAATGCACAGACAGGGGAATGGATTGCCTTCGGCCGCTGGGCCCCATGATGTGCAGCGAGTGCCTGAGAACTCATTGCACAACCGCTTTCTGAGCCAGAAATATCTGGAAAGAGTGCAGCTTCCATAGCAGCTGCCTCATTCACTGGTGTGGTGGGTCAAAGCACGAGATAATCAGAGGCTCTTTCTTTTCCTCTGCACCTGCAAAAGCACACTGCTAATTCCGTCACAGATGCCAACAGGCATTCAGGCTAATAGAGCGCCATTCAGATTAACCAGAGCGTGTCCCGCATGCCACCACAGACCATCGGCTGTGGGGCTCTTTCTGAAAGGGGAAGAGGCTGGCTTGATTTACATTTCTCAGTGTTGATGGAAGCATTGTCATTTTTATTTGCATTAGACCTATTACAGAAATTACTTCAGGCACACGTATTGAAGCATTAATGCCTGTGGGTGTAGGGTGTCATTGATTACTGTCACAGACTGTCCTAAAATGTTGCACTTGAGTAAAAATATTTAAACTAACTTCAGCCAGTTCTATTTTAACATTTTCATAACATAAAAACTTAACCAAGCAAACTGATTTTAGACTTTACGTTGAAGAAACCTATTATTAGGAAATAGTTAAAGGAAATTAGCCTCGTGTTCTTAAAATTGCTATAGTAGCTGATACATTGCTTGACATTTTTTGAAGCGTAACAGCCCAAAGCAACGGGTAGAACTCATGAAAGGAGGAGTGTTTTTTGATTATCCTTGGCTATGATATTGTCATCTTGCAAATTTTCTGAAGTGATGATGAGTTTGCCTTCTTTTCCAATCTGTTTTGTTTATAAAAGTATCGCCATATGTAAATGATGTGTAATATGTTTTCTTTTCCAGTGGTGAACTGTTCTGATCCAGGCTTTGTGGAAAATGCCATTCGTCATGGGCAACAGAATTTCCCCGAGAGTTTTGAGTATGGAACGAGTGTCATGTATCATTGCAAGAAAGGATTTTACTTGTTGGGATCATCCGCCTTAACCTGTATGGCAAATGGCTTATGGGATCGCTCTTTACCCAAGTGTTTGGGTAAGCGAGGGTTATTTTGGATTCTTGTGCCACAGAGCTCTATAAAGGCACCACCAACAGAACAAATTATTTTTTCAAGTATTCATAAAGTATTGGTTTTTAATTCTTTCTAACCCCCCATCATGAAGTGTATAAATTATTATGATATCTTTATAGATTGCCTAGAAATCACAAAATACAACTCAAATTTGTTTAAAAGGATAAAAAGTGGGGGCACCCACACTGGCATGCTCACATACCTGGCCCTAGAGAGAAATGGTCCCAGCTTATTGGGCAGCACTTGGACCCATTCTGTCTTTGTCTCTACTTATCACTGCTTGTCTTCTGCTTCAACACAGTGGATAGGCTAATTCTTCACAGTTCAAACATGGCGGCCAGCAGCCTCAACACCGTGTGTCTCTCAGCTTCACTCTTTCGGGACCCAGATTCAGAAATATTAACAAAGCACTCTGGTACGGAGTATCCTTCTGTTGACCTGTGGATCCTAGTATCTGTGGATACTAATTTGGTCTCATGAGCAGTTCTGGTAGAGTCAGTAGTTGATACAATAAAAAAGATATTATCTTGATAGTAATTTCCTCCTGATCCATATGTTTAAATAAGAAGAAGGCATATTGCCCTGAAGAATGGAAGTGTTCTTCTGGGCAGACAAAATTATAGATCACCGTTATAGCTCCCGTCAAAACATTACTGTCAGTATATTTTAGACCATATAGATTAACAAGAACACTTTTTTTTTTTTACCCAAATAGCTATAGTCTTACTTTCTTTCACTTGAAAAAGCATATTGTCCCTTAGCCCCAAGAGAATCATCTTGTTAAACCATGGTCTGAAAATTTAGGAAAAAGAGTCACTCTCTTCCACCATTTTAAAATCAGGCAGAAACAAAAAAATCCTTGTAATCGAAATCTTATCTCCTAGTATGCATTTTGTGTGCATAAATAAAATGGGAAATGGCAGTTATGTTATGAATTGAATTTAGTGAAAACAAAGGATCTATTTTATCTCTTGCAATTACAGCATTTTCAGTACATTGTCGGCGTGGCTTAGTACAGGAGATTTTTTCCTGCAAGTCAGTGTCGCTCACAACTCCCTCCAATCTACATGGAAACTTGTCTCAAATTCTAACTATAACAATACAATCAATTTCCATGGAGAAACAGAGTGATGACTTTTAAAAACAAATGCACAGCCTCATATGACAGAAAATGCATCTATACATGTATTTCAATCTTTAGCAAATTTTCTCTGTGTTCTGGTTTTCTCTGCCTTCACGACACACATGGGAATTTTTCATAGAAATTCTTTTTTTTCCTTTTTTCCCCAGACATTTCTTTTACATCTTCCCTGGCTTATGTGAGCCTTCTGTTAGTTTTTGTAACAGTGCCAGTGTGCTCCAAATCTCCAGGAACCAGGTTTTAACTGGTCTCATTTTCCTAGGGGGCTGGTTCTCATCACTTGTTGTCATTAACAATTGGAATTATCATGAAGATGGGAATACAGGTCCTCAGAGGAGCATTTTGCTTTTACAAGCTCATAGCAGCTAAGCTGCATCTCTATTTTTTGCTGTTGTATGGTTTCACTGGTTTTTTTTTCTCTGTTATTTCACCTAGAACTGGTCATTTACCAACCATTTCACTGATTCAGCTCTAATTAGATTCTTTTAGGACTCTATCTAGATAAACTCTTGTTGTCCAATGAATGGATGTCTTGTTCTCCAATGAATGCAGACAGTATCAATATGAGGGCTAATGTGACTCAGGGGGTGGAGGATGCCTTTCAACCTTTTAAATCTGCCTCTCTGGTTGATAAAACTCTTGGGTTGCCAATGATCAAATGCAATTCCTTTAGGGTGTTAAATCAGTTACCTTTGAATAATTTGTTGGCAGCCTGCGTCCATTTAACTGTTTGCATGTAGCATAGTTTGTCCATTGTTAACCCTTATTTGGGACTTTATATAAAGGGAGAGGTAAATCTTCACTATCTCTTGTTAATCTGGATTCCAGAATATGTCTTTTTGAGGGATAATTTATGAATAGATTATGGGCTTAATTTGGCAAACTTTTAAATAAATGAATGGAAATATTTAGATTATTTTATAGAATAACAAGGAAAAAATTAATCAGTAATTTATTATAGTTTTACTTAAATATTTTAGACAAATATTTTTTCTTTAAATATTTTCATTATTACTAATAATTAGCCACCTAGTCATTTTTATTTATTTACTTATTTATTTTTTGAGGAAGATTAGCCCTGAGCTATCTTCTACTGCCAATTCCTCTCTTTCTGCTGAGGAAGACTGGCCCTGAGCTAACATCCTTGCCCATCTTCCTCTACTTTATATGTGGGACGCCTACCACAGCATGGCATGCCAAGTGGTGCGTAGGTCTGCGCCCAGGATCTGAACTGGTGAACCCTTGGCTGCCGAAGCGGAATGTGCAAACTTAACCACTACACCACCAGGCTGGCCCCTAGCCACTTATTCAAAAAAAGTTATTAGAATGGTCTTCCGAGACGTGCAAACTAGAAAAGCAATTAGATTTGACAGTTTTGTCCCCAACTGATAAAATAATGGAAATAGTTTTGATGGATCTATGTTAATTGCTAAAATTTCATATAGTATTGCTTATTTGAGATACAATTAGGAGCAGATGGAAAAAATTTAGGCAGAGTGACTTTCTCATTCAAAGCCTAAATGTAAGTTTATACCTTAAGCAAAGCTACTTTAACTTAAGATTAGGAAAAAGAATCATTGAGAGACCCTTTCCTTGTCTTCAGTAATATATAAATATTCAAGGCAGGGGGAGTGTCCTCTGGAAATTGGTATTTCTTATCTCTAGGGAACTTCAGGGATATGCCAGTATATTTAAGTGTTTTTCATTAATAGGTGATGTTTGTATGGGTGTCTATGTGAGAGACTTGCCAATGCAAGGCAGGTGAACGGGAATGATGTACTTATCTCTTTTAATTTTTCCTCTGAAGCTATATCATGTGGACACCCAGGGGTTCCTGCAAATGCTATCCTAACTGGAGAACTGTTTACCTATGGCGCCACAGTTCACTACTCATGCAAAGGGAGCCGGAGTCTTGTAGGCAATAGCACTAGAGTTTGCCAAGAGGATAGTCACTGGAGTGGAGCACTGCCCCACTGTACAGGTGAGAAATCACACAATTAGGTAATTATCTGAAATACTGCATAATAGTGCAATTATTTGAAGTTGTTATTATTCCATTTCCAGCCAAATATGCCCTCGTTATAGATCACCACCATCATCCTCTTCATCATGCTCATCTTCATCGTCATCCCCGTCATCCTCTTCATCATCACCATTACACTCATATCCCGTCACATGTTCTGTAGGAGCCCCGAGAGTTTCTTTGTCACCCTCACTACGAAGCTTGCTTACGTTGACTCATTCTGGCCCAGTTTGCACTTTATTCCTTTTCTGTGCTTCCTTTCAATTCTTCCACATCTTTCCTGTCTCTATAATCAGTAATTACATTGATCCTCTCTGAAAAAAAACGATCATCTTAATTCTTCCATGAGTGTTTCTTAAATAAATAAAACAGTGAATCAGAAACTTGGATATAATGGAGAAGAATCAAACCTCTCACTTGATTTTTTTAAATTCTCAACACACCTTCAGCCCCGTCTCCCTTTTACTGTTCATACTGACACGTCCGGTGGACAAATCTCGCGCTGGCCATTGCCATTCTCAGTGTTTTATTTCTTCTAAAGAATATCAATTATTGCCGTAACTGCATTTTAATAAGCTATTTTGATTTTAGTTGCACAAGAACAATTTCTTAAAGCTTTCCATTTTTGTGCTGTAATAAAGAAAACGTTTCTCACAAAATTTCCAGAATGCCATATAATTGTAACCCATGTTCAATGCCCATTTAAATAACTTTTCATTCTGTTTAACCCAAACAGCTCTGTTTTAAAGAAGTCTAACCACATTGTCTATTGCCATATGTGTTTATGTTCAACAGGGAATAATCCTGGATTTTGTGGTGACCCAGGGACCCCACCACATGGATCTCGGCTTGGAGATGAATTTAAGGCCAAGAGCCTTCTACGCTTCTCCTGTGAGATGGGCTACCAGCTGAGGGGCTCCCCTGAGCGAATGTGTTTGCTCAATGGGTCGTGGTCAGGGCTGCAGCCTGTGTGTGAAGGTGAGTAGAGTCAAGCCTGAAAGGCAACCTTTCAAGTTGAAACCATGGAATTCATTCTAAAATGACCAGTAATATTCCACAGAAATCCTAGAGATTTAGACTATTTGCACAATAAACGATTTTCCCCCAAAATGTATAAGAGAATCATCAAAAGCCATGACTGCTAACATGGAAATAGGCCTGACTTCGAAAGATCATATGACACTGGTTATTACGCTTTGAAAGTTTATAGCCCAAAGGAGGTTTCTGATCTCTGGTAATAATCTCCGTGTGATTTGCAGCATTTTGTGCTTGCTGGAGGTGAATAACTGAGGTGAAGGAGCAATGACTAGGAGCAGTGTAAATCAAGAATGGAAATTTCCACAGGTTGGAACAGGTCTTAATTCACATACTTTCCAAGCTACCGTTAGCCCTCACTCAGAGCACTGCATACGGAATAATCTAGGGGTATTTTCTGTATAATAATTTGGAGTGAATACATTTTATTGTAATATTTGAGAGGCATCATAGGAAATGGTGGGGTCCCCAATAATAACAGTAAAAATGTTACGGATACTTTATAGACCCTGTGTCACGTATGGGCAACACTCACCTTGAGCAAAGGTGAGCTGAGATATCATGGGCTTGTTTAGAGTCCAGAAAATAACTGACTTATAATTCAGACAGATAGGACTTTAAATATTAGAAAGTTTTTGCATACAAACTTTTCAATTACTTAATTTTTGAGTCTAAAATGGTTACACAAATTAATTAAATATTTATTTTTATATGTATAAAGCACTTTCTATATAATTTGATCAACTTGAATAAATTATCAATATCAATATCAATACCAGAAATATAAATCAAGTTTCTGAATCTTCATTTTCTCTACTCTTCTATGCCATCTCTACTTATCCCTTTCTCTCATTTTATTATGTGTGTTATATAGATAAGTTGAAAATAATATATATGTGTAAATCTAACTATATTGTATATGACAATTATATTATATGTAATCTACATAATATAAAATTTACATATATATAAAAATAAGAAAATATGAATATATACATAGACACATATGCATGCATGTCTATGTGTTTGTATATGTTCTAATTCAGAGTCAAAGATTATGTTGGAGATATCTATATATTATCATATATACAGATATCTAGATATACCTGAGATATCTGTATTTACAATAATCCAAGATAGCTTTTGACTCCAAATTGCATCTTGACAATCAAATTAGTGTAAATCTTGAGATTATGCTCTAAAGAAGTTGATGTAACTCAAATATTTCTGAAGAGCGGTGGGAAAATGTCACCTGCAGCTGTGAATTGTAGGATTGTACGTTTTTTTACTGACTGAAGTATGTTACTATAAATTAGTAGACTATTTCTTACTCAGATACAATTTCCTCAGTTTCCTCCTCTCTTCTAGATTTGAATATTAAAATTTGCATGATAACATGTCTTTCTCACTGAGACCAGAGTGTTTTCTCTTCCATAATTTAGTACCTCAAAGTTATACATGACTTTCGTAATCTATGTTTACATCCAATCCAATCTTTTCCCTCTATACTACACCTGTGAATTGTTGGTCCAGAGTATATTTGAGTATTATGAAAATTAAATAAGACTTACACTTCAATCTACAACATATTAAATGGTGGTAGGCTAGCCTTATTGAGAACAACTATAAAACAACAAAATATATGAGGCAATCATCTGTTGTCATTAAACAACAGACAGTACATCACTACGTTCTTTAGGAAAAAAGAAATAAATGAGATGAACTCCATAATGCCCCTGCCATTCTGTATTTTTCTTGCTGTGAAGTTCGAAAGTGGAACCCATGTGGTAGAATGGCTTGGTGAAGTGATGAAGTAGAAATTGTTCTGGGCTGCTGGAATGAAATGTGCAGGATAGGGAATCTGAGAAGGGGGAGCTAAGAAAGGGAGAGCCCAGAAGTCTGTGTGAGCATTCACTGGGTGACTCGCCTGAGGGCTGGGATGACAAGGATGGGTGAGGCTCAGTCATGCAAGGATCTGTTGCAGAGTTGAGAGTGGACGTGTGATATTAAAAGTCATACCAGGGACCGGCTTGGTGGTGTAGTCGTTAAGTTTACATGCTCCACTTGGTGGCCTGGGCTTTGTGGGCTCTGATCCTGAGCGTGGGCCTACACACCCCTCATCAAGCCATACTGTGGCCACATCCCACATGCAAAATAGAGGACGATTGCCACAGATGTTAGTTCAGTGACAATCTTCCTCACCAAAAAAACAAAAAAAGAAGTCATACCATACAGAGAAATATTGGAGGCCCAGAAAGCCCATACATTATGAAAATGTACCACCCCCTAAAATAAGGAGAACATGCTAAAACTAAGAGAAAAAATTTGTTAGGACTAAGACTAAACAGATCTCCTCTAATAAAGAATGAATCTGAGGATAAGACCCAAAAGACCTATAACTAATTTAAAAGCCCAGCAGAACAAAACCCAACATCTTTTAAAGGAATGACGTAATGCATACATTTCATTCACAATGTCCAGCGTGCAAGGAAAAATTACTATATATGCAAGACTCAGGACAATATGACCCATAGGCAAACAGACAAACGAACTAAACCATAGAAATAAAATCTGATCCTGAGATGACCCAAATGTTGGACATGACGCACAAAGCCTTAAAGCAGCTGTTAAAAATATGTTCAAGGATTTAAAGTAAGTTAGAGTTATAAACAGAAAATTTCAACAAGAGAAATGGAAATAATAAAAGAGAATCAAATGAAAACTCTGGAATTGAAAAATACACTATCTGATGCGAAAACTTTGCTGCATGAACTTAGATTAAAAATGGCAGAAAGGTCAGTTAGCTTGAAGGCAGGTCAATGAGAATGATGCTGTCTGAAAAATGGAGAGAAAAAAGATGAAGAAAAAAACCCCAGTACGATAGTTTCCTGTGGTATACTATCAAGCAGATTAACACACTTGTAATTGGAGTACTAGAAGAAAAAGAGGAGAGAGAATGGGGCAAGAAAATATTTTTAAAATTTTTGGTTAAAAGTCAACCAAATTTGGTGGGAGAATATAGCTCTCAAAAACTCAATAAATCTCACTTGGATACATTCATGTTCTATTAGGAATGGAACTTTCTGGAGAGTCTGTAGCTTTCTTTTTTATTTTTTCCCTCACTTCTCAGCATAGGTCCAAATCTTTGGGGTACATATCATTTTCTATAGACAAGGGGAGTTACCTGTGACTTTTTCAATTCCAAAAAGGTTAGCCATGACCACATATTCAATACCCCAACCAGGATCATCGCCCTCCTAATGAAATTACTTCTCTGAATCTATTAAAAACATTAGATCCTGATGGGACATTTCAACAAATTCTAAAAAGGAGGAGTTCATGAGTCATAAAATAATAACATTTTTAAAACTCCTAAACATTAAAGAACCTATATTTTTAATATATTTCCATGACTTTAAATTGTGTTTTCTTTGATAGCAATCTAATCTTTTAATCATAGGCTCATTAACTTAACTTCTCAAATTGGTATTGCTCATGAAGTTCTTAAATATAACTCCATCATTGATTTTGGTTGCATTAGGCAACTTTTAATCCTTTTTCCCATGAAATTATGATAAAGCCTACGTTTTATTCAGGTAATGGGTATGTGGATGATGATGAAGATAATGGAAATAACAATAGCATCAGCTGCCATGTATATCTTTACTATTACTAACATACCTGGTTGTTTCTAGGCATTTTGTGCATATTCTGTTTAATCTGGGAGCAATTATCTCTAGTATACCTATTTTACAGTGAAGACACTACAAGTTGAGGACTTACATTGATTGCTCACGTTTGCTTAACTTGTATGAGCAAAGATTCAAACCCCAAACTACCTAACTCAGTTTAGCAGCAGTTTTCCTAATACAGCATGCTAAGTGAGTACTACTGATATCTGTAAACACTAAAGTGTATTTGAAATAAGTATAATGCTACTTTACTAAGGAAAATGATCTTTTACCAAAAGGAGTCACATTAATCAAATGTTCTTAAAGTACTTAAAAAGAAATTTTAACTTTTAATTTTTAAAAAATCTTTTTTCCCTTCTCATGAGTCTAAATTTAATCCCTTCTTTCACTCTAGTGGTCATCTTCATATCTCATAACATTCTGGCATTAGTACGAAAACAAGTATGTTGATGCTGTCTTCTGATTTTCAACTTCATAGGCATCACCAGCACTCAAAGTGTTTCTGTCAGAAAGAAAAAGTTAACCATGACTTTGATTTTATAGACTACAATATTTGAGAGGACGTTCTAAACATTAGGATGGCATTATTATGATGGGCATTCTTGTACTGACGATATATTAGTCTATAAATTAAGCTGAATGTTTTGCCAATCACATCTCATTTTAGTTTAGTCCTTCACAGGTGACTTTTGAAAATTGCCGCTTAGATCTTAATAGCAGATATGATTAGAATAAAATAATGACATGGGTGTCTTTTGTTGATTTGCTAAACTGTGAATTGGATCAATACAATTCTTTTCCATTAGTCCATCTACTCAATAACTGTTGCATACTAAGGGATGAATCAACACTTGTTGAATGAATAATTGTCTTGAACAGTCCAACATCTTGGTTTTTTGCAATATGAAATTTTAATTTATATCACAGCCATCATAGAACTTCTGAGCTTTAGAGAATATTAGATATCATGTGCTTCAGGGTTGTAAACATATCTCTTCTCAAATCCAGCCCAGAAACTGCTGAAAGGCCTGGGTTAGAAAGGACTGTAAGTTCAAACTCAGATTCATCATGGAAGAAGGTTATGATTGATTAGTTATGTCTGTCATGGGCACAGGTACAGAAGCACCAGCATGTACGCTTTCTATTTGTCGAACAAGATCTAGTCTGAACCAAGGATAAATGCATTTTCAACATAGTGTGATAGGCAATTCCATAAACTTCCATTACAGTGGCTTTTGTATGCTATGTACATTTTGCAGTCTGTTTTCTTCAATATCTTTGAGAAGAGTCTATCATTATTCTCAAGGCTAGATTTGAAAGTGGAGCAACTAAATAGGCAAGACTGTTTTCAAATATTCGGTCATTCTAGGAAATGGCCTCGTGGTACACTCTTGTTATTAAAATCCAGCCACGGGTCACATTCTTTATATGTCTGCCTGTTTATTATTGTGGGAGGGCTAAGGAGGAAAAACAACTGTCTTTATGATAAATAGGCTCAACTAAAAAAGGAAAAAAAAAACATGTTGTAGATTAAACTCTTTACCTTGATGTACACCCAGCGGCTGCTGAGCTTTCTCTGCTTGCTGACCAAGGAGCCCACAGGATAGATAGAATGTAGACCTGTTGCACTGCCCATCATTAGCTGAAGTCCCAAGACATGACATTAAGATTGTCTTCAGAGAGTGTCAAGTGCAGCCCTGACAAAGCCAGTTCACCCAGCTGGTGACATAGACTTGGTGACATTGAGGAGACGTTTTGCAGAACAGTTTAAGAGCAGTCACTTATAGTCCTCAGGCATCCCTTATTCTCCAAAATGCTCATCCTGGGGATGCAGAATATGACCCGATTTGCCTAGATTTTTCTAAAAACTCAGCTGTTGTATGAAGGGAGACACTTCTGAGTTGCTGATATCAAATAGATCCTTTAAAAAATCCTAATAATTTTATTTTTATAATATAAACGTGTTAAATATCAAAGTGGTAAGGCTTTGAATTTTCAGTGCTTTAGCTCTTCTTGAAGTAATGCACTTTAGAAAGGATGATATGAAAATGTAATTTTCACATTTGTAACATCAGTACAGTAATGGGTGAGTTCTAAAGGAAATATCTTCTATAGTAATATGTCCTGTTTTTTAAATTTTTAAAAAAATTTCTGAGGAAGATTAGCCCTGAGCTAACATCTGCTGTCAATCCTCCTCTTTTTGCTGAGGAAGACTGGCCCTGAGCTCACATCCATGCCCATCTTCCTCCGCTTTTATATGTGGGATGCCTACCACAGCATGGTGTGCCAAGCAGTGCCATGTCTGCACCCAGGATCCGAACCAGCGAACCCCAGGCCGCCAAAGCGGAACATGCACACTTAACCGCTGCGCCACCAGACCGATCCCTGTCCTGTGTTTTTAAATAAATTTGTCATCTGTTACACTGATGACCTTGGTCTCTTGTACTTGACATTTTAGTAACAGATCACTCTTGGTGTGTCACTGTTTTTGTGTCCCTCACAGCTGTGTCCTGTGGCAATCCTGGCACGCCCACCAATGGCATGATTGTCAGTAGCGATGGCATCCTGTTCTCCAGCTCGGTCATCTATGCCTGTTGGGAAGGCTATAAGACCTCGGGGCTGATGACTCGGCACTGCACGGCCAATGGGACCTGGACAGGCACAGCTCCCGACTGTACAAGTTCGTAACTAACCATCACACTAGACTCAAGGACATTACCATGATATCTACCTGATTGAGACAAACAAATTTATTTTTAACGTGTTTTATTCATTTTTAATATAGAGAGAAGAAAAGATATGCATGTATTTGATGTTATGACTCTATTTATCAGATACTTTTAGATTTTTCTTCACTTTCTTTTTTATATGGTTGACACTGCTTTAAATGGACGGTTGGTCTGGATTGGACATTGTAAAACTGAGGCCAAAAATAGTTAAGATTTGTTCTCTCTGTGGCCATTTAGCCTGAAGAGAAATAAGGAAAGTGGTTCTCTTATCGCAGCCTGAGTCTCTGTCCATAACTTTGTGGTGTGATTACACACCATGCCTTACTAAAGACGAGACAAGGAAGGCAGCCAGCATCCACACAGCCAACCACCAATGAAATGGACATAATCAATTCTAAACCCATAGCCTCCTGACAGCCGGTCAGTAAAACTGTCAAACACAGGACAGTATTGCTGCAGTAATTTCACTGCTTAATCGCTTTGAAGAGCAGCTTAAGGAGAGTAACTTAAATAGAAACCTTGACTAATTCATTTCATGATAATTTTGTATTTCTCTAATTCTTTTTTGTTTCCCGTATGTTAGTTATAAGCTGTGGAGATCCAGGTACCCTGGCCAATGGCATCCAGTTTGGGACAGATTTCACCTTCAATAAGACCGTGAGCTACCAGTGTAACCCCGGCTATGTCATGGACCCTGTCACGTCCCCCACCATCCGCTGTACCAAAGACAGCACGTGGAGCCACAGCAAACCGGTCTGCAAAGGTCTGTGTCAGCACTTGGCGGTTTGAGTCATACAGAGAGAAGTCTTTATTGAATTATGTTTTATTTCATTTTGCAAGCATTTATGTAGTCCTTCCATATGCTAGGAATTCTTGTAAACTCATTTGCCAGTATTAAATCACTTCATTTTCTTAATATTTTAATCTCAGTTTTGCATATAGGAAAACTGACTCACGGAGCGAGTTAGTAAACGGCTCAGGATCACAGATCAGGAATCGGAGACGTCAGGATTCAGATGACACTCATCCTACCTCTAAGTCCGTGTTTGGAATCCTAATGCTTTGCTCTCTGAGTAACCATGTTAACCCTGGTTGTGTTCAGTCTTACCGCAGATATGACGGGGAATATCATCATAGGAATTTAGAGTCAGGTTAGAGAGAGAAGCCATGCTGAGACTGAAGATCCACGCAGACATGGAGGTGGGGTGCGAAGGTTTATGCCTCCTACAGTTGGACTTCCCGGGGAGAACAGGGCAGGCTGAAGCCAGTCTAGGTGTCTTGAGCAAATTAGAGAGAGTGGGTTGGGTCCGTACAGTGACGAGGGAATGGGGCGGGGGCAAACAGTACAGGGACAAGGATTTGCATGGTTAGGACTTCTCCATCAGCACCAGAGAGAGAGTGTGCAGGCTTTCCTACCAGCTGGCCTAGAGGGCAGGGGTGGGGGGCAGAAAGGAGAGGAGTGGGGCTCAAAAGTGATCAGTGATCAAATATAAAAATGTGGTGCTTACTCCTTATTAGACCAGGAACAGGTAAAATAGTGTGAGAGTGGAGAGCCTGAGTGGGGGCCTTAAGAGGACAGTGCCATCTTCAACAGGCTCTGAAATACAGGCAGCTCTTGTGTAGACAGAGCTTGTTGGGGGTCCTGAATGAGACCTCAATATTCAACACTATGGCTTCCTCTCCCTTTGGACATTGGCATGTTCTTGGACTGTCCTTGTTTTACCTCCCACTAGAGTGTAAGGATGGCTCTGTCTTCTGTTCTTTCTTCTATGTGCAATTACTAATACTGTGCCTGTTACTTAGCAGGCACTACATTAATGCTTAATGGAACTCACAAAGTTGTGTTGGGGTGTTCTGGTCAAATGAGCATGTTGACGACAATTGTCAACAAAATGGTCTGGTCTCTGGAAATTCATATATGTTTTTATAGACTGCTGATGCTCTTTTTAATGCTTGTTGGATTAATAATTAGCTCCATGGCTGACCAGGCCCTTCCAGATGAGACTTCCTTCTCTCCCCCTGGCCTCTTCTCATGCTGGTCACCCTCCTCACCCCTGTGTTGAACCACGCCACTTGTTACTCTTCCCGCCTGGGGGCCTGTTCACTTGACATTCCCCCTGTCTCAAACACATGTTCCCCCAACCCTCACATATGGATTCTCAAGAACTGTCTATTGAAAAAATGAATAGATGGATGGAAGGTTGAATGGCAAGAGAAGGGCCTATTTCCAGCTGCTGAGTGTGCATGTGTGACTCTGTGTGCATCTGTGTGTCTTTCTCACATGAGAAAGTGTGAGCCTGAGCGTGTGTAAGAAAACACAGGTGAAAAAATTCAGGTGGGGTTCTTCTCCTGTGGTCTAAACGGTCATTGGCAAATCCCCAGGAAGCTCTTGGCTCCTCAGGGCATAAGATGTTTGGATAGTGCATCTTAGTACAGTGGCTAGCACGGGGCAGGTGGATACGTGGGGCCAGCACCAACTGGCAGATCACCCCTGAGAATGTGTTCTTGCTCTGTGGGTCCAAGCACAAAGTCAACATCAGGCTCCGAGACTGTTATAAAACACTGGCAAGTGGTGTTTCACAGGGTCTCCTTTAACCATTTAAGCATTAGTTTTGTAATTATTCAGCAAATGGATCAACACAAAGTCTTGTAAATTATGTGCTATCTTTAAATAAAGAAAAGAATACTGCAGGAGAAATTCTTACCACCTGTACATATCCATTCAAAAGTTTGTCTTTTGTCATATGACTGAGCCCTCATTTGATTTGTCCTTGTTACCATCATAAGAAGACATAAATTGAATAAGAGGTAGTCGGTTGGAGGTAGCGAATAATTCATCCGTAGTTAACGTCTCGGCAGATGTGAGTGACGGATGAGAAGGCAGTTGTCGTGTCTGATGTGTAGTGTATGGCTAGGAATAGGCCTGTTAAGATTTGGAGGATTAGGCAGATTCCTAGGAGGGAGCCGAAGTTTCATCATGATGAAATGTTTGAGGGGGCTGGTAGGTCAATAAAAGAGTGATTGATGATTTTAATTAGTGGGTGAGATTTCCGGATGTTTGTCATTGGTGTTCTTATAGTTGAAATACAACGATGATTTTTCATGTCATTGGTCGTGGTTAGATTCCACGTGGGAATAATGATGACATATATTGTGTTTATTTTGAGTGTTATTTTTGTTGTTAGTTTTGTGGGGTTTTCTTCAAAACCTTCACCTATTTATGGGGGTTTAGTGTTGATTGTAAGTGGAGGGGTCGGTTGTGGTATTATTATGAATTTTGGAGGGTCCTTTTTGGGGTTGATGGTGTTTTTGATTTATTTGGGAGGAATGTTGGTTGTTTTTGGTTATACAACGGCTATGGCTACTGAGCAGTATCCTGAGGTATGGGTGTCTAATACGACTGTTATGGGGGTATTTCTTTTAGGGTTGTTGATGGAGGTTATGTTGGTTTTATATGTTCTGAAGAGTGAGGAAGTGGGGGTAGTGTTTAAGTTTAGTGGTGTGGGGGATTGAGCTATTTATGATACTGGAGATTCTGGGGTGTTTAGTGAGGAAATTATAGGGGTTGCTGCATTGTATAGTTATGGGGCTTGGGTTGTGATTGTGACTGGTTGATCGTTGCTTGTTGGGGTCTTGGTAATTTTAGAGGTTACTCGTGGAGGTTAAAAAGTAGTATGCTTAGGGTAAGGGTGATGAGGAATGAGAGGAAATATAATTTGATTTGTCCTTTTTGGGTGGAAATTAGGATTGAGGTTTTTATTTGGAACTGGGAGATAGATTTTGGCAGGATGTTTTCTAGTCAGATTGAGTCTAGTAGAAGTGATGCTGATTTTTGGCTTATTGATAGGTTAGCGAGCGGTGGGAGTCGGTGTATAATTGTTGGGTAGTATCCTAGGAGGTTGGAGAATTTGAATACGCTGGTGGAGTGTTCTAGTTTTAAGTTATGGGTTATCAAGCTTAGTTCTAGGGCTAGTGTAAATCCTAGGATGGTTACTGCGAGGGCGGTGAGTTTTATGTAAGTAGGTATAGTTATTTCTGGGACGGTTGTGGGGTAGATATTGTTGGAGATGAAGAATCCGGCAAAAATGCTGCCAATTAAGAGGCGTTTGATGGAGTTAATTAGAAAGGGGTTGTTTTCGTTGATTGAGGTCAGAGGGAGGAAGCGGGGTTGCCCTAGGAGTGCAAAGAAGATGATTCGGGTGCTGTAGACAGCTGTGAGGGATGTGGCAATGAGAGTTATTAGTAGGGCTCAGGCGTTGGTGTACGATGTGTTGGCGGTTTCGATGATGAGGTCTTTGGAGTAGAAGCCTGTGAGGAAAGGAATTCCGGTGAGTGCAAGGCTGCCAATAATTAGAGATGTGGTGGTGAAGGGTATTGCATTAAATAGTCCACCTATTTTTCGGATATCTTGCTCGTCATTTAGGCTGTGGATAATGGATCCGGAACATATAAATAGTATAGCTTTGAAGAATGCGTGAGTGCAGATGTGGAGGAATGCTAGGTAGGGTTGATTGATACCGATGGTTACGATTATCAGGCCTAGTTGGCTGGAGGTGGAGAAAGCAATGATTTTTTTGATATCGTTTTGAGTGAGTGCGCAGATTGCTGTGAATAGTGTGGTGATGGCTCCTAGGCATAGGGTAAGTGACTGGATTGTTTTGTTGTTTTCTATTAGTGGATGGAAGCGGATTAGCAGGAAGACGCCTGCTACAACTATTGTGCTGGAGTGGAGTAGGGCTGAGACTGGTGTAGGGCCCTCTATGGCTGAAGGAAGTCATGGGTGGAGTCCAAATTGAGCGGATTTGCCAGTTGCGGCTAGGAGGAGGCCTAGGAGCGGGAGGTTGGTAAGGTTGGGGTCGAGTATGAAGATTTGTTGGAGGTCTCATGTGTTGGTGTTGAATAGGAATCAGGCTATGGCCATGATGAAGCCGATATCCCCGATGCGGTTATAAAGGATTGCTTGAAGGGCCGCGGTGTTGGCATCTGTTCGGCCGTATCATCATCCGATTAGTAAGAATGACATGATGCCTACTCCCTCCCATCCGATGAACAGTTGGAAAAGGTTGTTAGCTGTGACTAGAATTATTATGGTGATGAGGAATGTAAGTAAGTATTTAAAAAATCGAGTAATGTAAGGATCTGAGTGCATGTATCATAGGGAGAATTCCATAATAGATCATGTTACGAATAGGGCTACTGGTACGAAAATTATTGAGAAGTAATCTAGTTTGAAGCTTAGGGATAGTTTGAGGGTTTGTATGGTTATTCAGTGTCAGTTTGAGATGATTGTTTCTTGTCCAGAGTGAATAAATATTATAGTGGGAATTAGGCTAGTAATGAAGGCATATGAGATAGTGTTTTTTACATGATGTGGGAACGTGCTGTTTTTGTAGGTATTGAAGATTGATGATATGATTGGGAGGGTTAGTACTAATAGTGAAACTAGTATGAGGGAGGAGAACATGTTGATTACTTTTATTTGGAGTTGCACCAATTTTTTGGTTCCTAAGACCAACGGATAGCTCCTATCCTTTAAAAGTTTGAGAGAGCCATGTTTGTTGGACATGGGGGCATGAATTAGCAGTTCTTGCATACTTTCTCGGTAAATAAGAAATATTAAGTTTCTGTTTCTAGATCCACAATCTAGTGTTTTTGTTAAACTATATTTACAGTACGTAAAGCCTAGGATAATTTTAGGGTTAAGTGACAGGAGTAGTAGGGGAGTCATGTGGAGGGCCATGAGTGCGTTTTCTCGTGTAAATGAAGGTTTAATGCTGTTGATATGGTGTGTGTATTTCCCTCGTTGTGTTGTGATTAGTATGTATAGGGAGTAGAGGGCGGTGATGGTGATATTGGCTCCTATTAGGATAATGGTAATATTTGATCATGAGAATGATGATATTACTACGAATAGCTCTCCAATTAGGTTAATGCTGGGAGGGAGGGCCAGGTTGGTTAGGCTGGCTAATAGTCATCAGGCTGCTATAAGGGGAAGAAGTGTTTGAAGTCCGCGGGCTAGGATTATAGTTCGGCTATGGGTACGTTCGTAATTTGAGTTTGCCAGGCAGAATAGTATTGATGATGTAAGGCCGTGGGCGATTATTAGGGCTGTAGCTCCTATATAACTTCATGGTGTTTGGATGAGGACGGCTACGATTACTAGGGCTATGTGGCTGACAGAGGAGTATGCAATAAGTGATTTCAGGTCGGTTTGTCGCAAGCAGATGGAACTAGTTATGATTATTCCTCACAGGGATAGTATGAGGAAGGGGTAGGCTATAAAGCTAGTTTGGGGGTTTAGTATTGTTGTAATTCGTAGTATTCCGTAGCCTCCTAGTTTTAGTAGAATGGCTGCTAGCACTATGGATCCGGCAATTGGGGCTTCTACATGGGCTTTTGGGAGTCAGAGGTGAAGACCATATAGGGGTATTTTGACTATGAATGCTATTATACATGCTAGTCATAGGAAGATATTGGATCAAGAGTCGGGTAGTGCTTGGTTTCAGTATTGAATTAATAGGAAGTTTAGTGAGCCTGTTAGGTTTTGGATAGAGATTAGTGCAACTAAGAGTGGGAGGGAACCTATTAGTGTGTAGAATAGGAAGTAGAGGCCTGCGTTTAGGCGTTCTGTTTGGTTGCCTCAGCGGGTGATGATAATTAGTGTTGGAACTAATGTGGCTTCAAATAGGATGTAGAAGGAGATTAGTTCTGTGGCGGTAAAAGTCATGATTAGGAAAGTTTGAAGTATGGTTAGCATGGTGATGTAGAGTTTTTTTCGGATTAGTGGTTCCTTAGATAGATGATGTTGGCTGGCTATGAGTATTAGTGGCAGTAGTCATGTTGTCAACACCAGAAGTGGGGCTGATAGGGGATCAGAGAAGAATATTAGTGAGAAGTTTAGGCTATTGTTGCTAGGTTGGTTTAGGAGGGATAGGCTGATAAGGCTGATTAATAGACTATAGGTTGTAGTGTTGATTCAGATTATATTCTTTTTTGATAGTCATGTAAGGGGCATAAGTATGATTGTGGGAATGATGATTTTTAGCATTGGAGGAGGTTAAGGTTTTGTACGTGGTCTACTCCATAAGTATTGGAGACTATGACTAGTAGGGATAATCCTAGAGCTGCTTCGCAGGCAGCAAATACTAGTAAGATGATAGGTATTATACTAGCTAGTGTGAAGTGGGTGTTTAGGACTATTATGGTTGCTATGACGAATAGTGATAGTATTATTCCTTCTAGGCATAGGAGTGAGGATATTAGGTGGGATCGGTACATTAGTAGGCCTACGAGGGATACTGTGAATGCTAGGAAGATATTAATATGGACTAGTGACATGTTGGTAATTATGAAGTTAATCATAGTTTAATGAGTCGAAATCATTTGTTTTGGTTTAAACTAATTACCATACTCAGTTCATTCTAGTCCTTTTTGGGTTCATTCGTAGGCTAGGCTGATGGCTAGAAGAGAGATTAGGACTAGTGCTATGATAAGTATAGTGTTTAGGTTTGTTGTTTGGGATGCTCATGGAAGGGGTAATAGGAGGGCAATTTCTAAGTCGAATAGCAGAAATGTAATGGCCACTAAGAAAAATTTTATTGAGAAGGGGAGGCGTGCTGACCCTATAGGGTCGAATCCGCATTCATATGGGCTGGTTTTTTCTGCATAGATGTTTAGTTGTGGTAGTCAGAATGCGATGAGTACGAGTAGCGAGGCTAGTAATGTGTTAGTGAGGAGTGTCAGTATGAGGTTTATTATTCTTTTTCGGGTTATACCGAAGCTGATTGATTGGAAGTCAATTGTACTGGTCAATACTAAAAGAATAGGATCCTCATCAATAAATAGAGACGTACAAGAATAGTCAGACTACGTCGACGAAGTGTCAGTATCAAGCGGCTGCTTCGAATCCGAAGTGGTGGCTGGATGTAAAGTGGAATTTTAGTTGGCGTAGGAAACATACAATGAGGAAGGTAGATCCGATAATTACGTGTAGTCCGTGGAACCCTGTTGCCACGAAAAATGTTGATCCGTATACTCCATCTGAAATAGTAAATGGGGCTTCATAGTATTCTGAGGCTTGGAGAAGGGTGAAGTATACGCCTAGTGAAATTGTGATGAATAGGCCTTGGAGCATATTTTTACGGTTTCCTTCTATTAGGCTATGGTGGGCTCAGGTGATAGAGACTCCAGATGCTAGGAGCACTGAGGTGTTGAGTAAGGGGACTTCTAGGGGGTTTAAGGGGTGGATACCTGTGGGTGGTCAGCAGCCGCCTAGTTCGGGTGTGGGGGCTAGGCTTGAGTGGTAAAAGGCTCAGAAGAAGCCAGAGAAGAAGAAGACTTCTGAGATAATAAAAAGGATTATGCCATATCGGAGTCCCTTTTGAACGATTGATGTGTGATGGCCTTGGAATGTGCTTTCTCGGATGATGTCTCGTCATCATTGATATATGGTAAGGATGTTAGTTAATAGCCCTATAGCTAGAAGTAAGGTTGAGTTAAAGTGAAATCACATGGCTAGTCCTGATGTTATCAGGAGGGCTGATAGGGCTCCTGTAAGTGGTCATGGGCTGGGGTTTACTATGTGGTAAGCGTGGGTTTGGTGGGTCATTAGGTGTTGTCGTGTAAGTAAAGGCTTACCAGGAGAGTGAATACGTAGGCTTGGATTATAGCTACTGCGAATTCGAGAATAGTTAGTAGAATTAGGATGATAAACGTAATAAGGGCTGTTGAGGGGCTGATGCTTATGAGGGCTAGTGTTGCCCCTCCGATGAGGTGTATTAGGAGGTGTCCGGCGGTAATGTTAGCGGTTAGCCGCACGGCTAGGGCTACAGGTTGAATAAATAGGCTGATAGTCTCGATAATTACTAGTATGGGGATGAGGAAAATGGGCGTTCCTTGAGGTAGAAAGTGGGCTAGGGCTGCTTTTGTTTTGTGACGAAAGCCTATGAATACTGTCCCTGCCCATAGGGGAATGGCTATGCCTAGGTTTATTGATAGTTGTGTTGTTGGTGTAAATGAGTGAGGTAGTAGGCCTAATAAGTTTGTTGAGCCAATGAATAGGATCAGTGATATGAGTATGAGAGTTCAGGTTTGTCCTTTGTTGTTATGGATAGCTATTATTTGTTTTGATGTAAGTTGGACTAGTCATTGTTGAATTGAGATTAGGCGATTGTTGATTAGTCGGTTGGACTACCTTCCTTGCTGGCCGTGTACACATTGAGAATGTCATGTTCAATCCCGGTTTCTTTTACAGTGTGATGCGTTTTGACTTTGCCTTGCTTTTATGTACTCGATGTAAATTAATGAAGAGATACTGGAGAAAATTTTCATTATTTTGATTTACTGTCTTCCTCAGTTATTCTTTTCGTAAAGAAACGCAACCCTATGTCGGTGTCATTTGTAATTCATGTACAATTAAAATGTTGATCATTTGAGCATCGCGGTGGTGGTGGGGCCTCCAGAAAGTTTAATCTCATTTCTTCTTCGGAAGCAGCTGTCATGTGCACTCAGCCTCCTCAAGTACAGAACGGAAAAGTGGAGGGAGCTGATTTCCACTGGGGCGCCAGCATAAGCTACAGCTGTGTGGACGGCTACCAGCTCTCTCACTCCGCCATCCTATCCTGTGAAGGCCGTGGGGTGTGGAAAGGGGACACTCCCCAATGCCTGCGTAAGTCCTCCAGCAAAACTTGCTCCTTGGGTCGCCTTGGCAGAGGCACGGATGTACGAACCCTCAGGTTACAATTTGAGGAAAACAGCGACATGTCACGTAGAGCCCTGCAGTGATATGTAAAACCTCAAATCTGAGACTGCACTGCCCCAGGGCGGATTCTGTCCTTTCTGACATTTATTGGTTTATGAATTATACCTAAAGATTTAACAGGAACTAGTTAAGCAAGTTTAATAGGGTCACCTAATCCAGGGGCACACAGTGTCAGATGACTTCCTTGTTGTCTTCAACAGCCGTGTTCTGTGGAGACCCCGGCATCCCCGCAGAGGGGCGACTTAGCGGCAAGAGTTTCACCTATAAGTCTGAAGTCTCCTTCCAGTGCAAATCCCCCTTCATACTGGTGGGATCTTCAAGAAGAGTCTGCCAAGCTGACGGCACCTGGAGTGGCATACAGCCCACCTGCATCGGTAACCATGCCAGGGCAGCCCTGAGGGCATTTTGGGATGAGGATGTTTCATTTTAAAATCGGGTCGTTTGTGGGTACGCAGGGATGTTCCTGTAGATAATTCTTTGTGGAAGTGCTAATCAGCCAAGCCGAGGTGCAACCTCTCTTAAACGGGGCAGAGTAAGTTAGGAGTTTAAGTTAGAAGTCTATTAAAATAGCTGCTAGACCGAGTTCTCTTGCCTCAGTGTCTCCGTCTCCATCCGTCTCAACTGACAGCCACATCCTTTAGAGGAGAGACAGCTGTGTTCAAGATGCTGTCATGGCCCTTCTCCGGAACAGCCATCAGCAGGAGCACAGCCTCGCCCTTGCTTGACAGCCTTCCTCTCAATGCCCATCTTTCAGTCACTAGTGTAGCTCCTCCTAAACCATCCATACTGTTAGCAATCGTAGGAAGAGTTGCATTGGACCCTTATGTTCTGCTGACCTCAGAATAGGAGCATGAAAGTTGCAAGTCGGAAGAGACTTTATATGTGACCTAAACCCTTTGTTTTTAACTTAAATCTCCGCCTCATAGAAAGGGTTCAGATAGCAATTATATTTGTCTAAAGTCTCACTGTGAGTGGCATAGAAACCAAAACTCTTCATTCTGCATTCAGAGCAATTTTAGCCATCCCTCAGTGCTGCCTACTTACGTGTGCTGCTGGCTTAGTTTCCTTCCCAGCTTTACCGAGCAGAAGGATGGGCATTCTGCATATTTGTAGTAGACAATTAATGAGTTATATTCTTGGTTGTTTTCTAAGAAATTGAATGATATCTACTTAAAAATAGACAGGATTAGAAATCTTTTCATTGAAGCACGTCTTTTTCTAATTATAGGAATGTTTACTGCCATTCGATTTAAACTCTTGCTGTACAGTAGCTGTCTCTATACTAAAAAAAATTTTTCTTCCCCCCGATAGGTTAGTTTCTCTTGAAGACAAAAATTTCTTAAAGTTAGCTATTTTTTTCCCCACTAGCAGCTGGAAAGCAGCAAATAATAAAACTGCAGTGCCCTCTGATTGCTCAAGTCCTGCATTTTTTAGAAAAATGTCATTGTTGGTCTACCAATGTCATGCTTCAATCTGGAAGCATTAAACATATATCTCATTTTGAAATCTTGAGGAAAATTAATTCAAGAAATTTGGAATAAATTTTGGTTGACCAAAAGAGATGGCCATTAATTGAATAGTTAAAAAACAAAGGATCAAAAGAGAGAATTATTGAAGACAGTATATTATTAACCAACCAATATAGTATGTCAGTAGAGAGAAATTAAACCAGAGAATGGAAAAGAACGAGCTAATTCTGATACAGAAAATAACACACAGAGCAATGTAGAGTCTGATAAAGCACTAAAGATTAATATCTACAGAAGGTGTCTGAAAAGAAGATGAAAATAGCAATTCAATTTTTAGCTTTCATGTAAAACATCTTCCACATTTGTCAAAACATAATTTTCTCAATTTTGTAAGACCTTTTAGTAAAAATGTTGGAATTCCTTTAATAACCATATCTGGCATTCTCGGGTTTTTTTTTTTTTTTTAATTGTGAATTTCAGATCCTGCCCATAACGCCTGCCCAGACCCTGGTACTCCACACTTCGGAATACAAAATAGCTCAAGAGGATATGAGGTATTCCATTTTTATTTTACTATGTTTTTCTGTAATTATAAAATGCAACTGATACTTAAACTTATGTGTATAATTTTATGGACCATATCTGATTTATGTTATATTTGCCCAAATAAAATTCATTCAGAGAGGATTTCTGTATGATATTTTAACTGTCAAAATCGAGATAACTGTGTGTATCTTACTATGCACAGTAGTAATTGCTATATTAGTTTATACTTGAAAGCACACACAATTTTGTATTTTTTGTCTGCTGAACTGACATGGCAGTTCTCAAACCAAACTGACTTGTCACTGAATAACTACATATAAAAAAGACCCTGTTTAGTGACCTGATGTAATGGGCGAATAATACTAAATTCTAGAGACAAACACAGAAGAAAATGCATCCACCACCCTTAGGCTAAGCCTACTTCATGACAGCTCTTCTCCATATGATCTCTTCTAACTAGGTGAATGATTATTAGCGTACTCCATATCACTTTTGAAAGTTCATTTGGATTTTTAAATAAAAAGTACATTAACAGTCAAGTAATACTGGCACAATACCTAAAAACGAAAACTAATGGATCCTGAAATAAAATGTTTCAACCATCTTAAGTGATCAAGTGACTTTAGGGCTCTGATTATATGACTTTGAAAGCCAAAGTTAAATACGTCTACTCCATTCAAATTAGGGATCCCATTAATTTAGAATAGTCTTTTTCTTCAGCCGCTTTCCCCTATCTCTTCTGAAACCTAAATATTCTCATTTTCTTGGCTCTGACACACATTGGCTACTTCCTGATAGCAGTCTTACACTTGAAAAGGAAGTTCTCACGGGTACCCAGTAGGTTAAATCTAATGCATTTCCTATCAGGTCTCAAATATGACCTTAAGCCTCAGGTAAATCCTTCTGGGGCATGGATATATAGAGCCAAATATATAGGAATATGGGAAAATATTCTATGTGGGCGTTGCTCTCACTAACTCACTATGAGAAATCAAAGTTTTGATCACCTTTGTTTTCAGCAATTTTTAATTTGCCCACATATAACCTATGCTACGTAAACATTTATGTTGATTGTTTTCAGCAACATATTCGTCTGATTTATCTTAAGAAACTAAAAGGCATGGATAAATCCCTCACTCCCATGAATAATAGATTTTTCCCAAAAGCAAGATTACTAATAATTTAAAGAAACAGATGCCATCTTTTAAAGAGATGACTGAGACCATCAGAGGAATCTCCCCAACTGGTTTTCTTTTTCCTCCTTCATCAGGAAACATTGAATCTTGAATGTAATAGGTTAGCTTTTTGTTTGCTTTCTTTTGCACTGTAGGCTGAAACTCATGCAGAGTGAGCCATTTCAGGTTGGAACATCCCTTTGTCACACTATGTTAATTACACGGTTTAAGTGACTAGGTCCCAATCTCCAGGCAGCCATGTCCTATAAATTTATACACTCCAGGTTAGTTTACAATAGTTGTAAACCCAGGTGACGGGTTAACCCTTTCCCGTCTTTGAACCTCAAAGTAGTTATTCATTTGAAGTTTGGAGAAATTTGAATTTTTTCTTTATAAATTCCTGCTTCTACTTTTAGGTGCCAGAGCTAAGCAGCAGCTATTCTTTTCTGACGTTCTGCATCACTAGTCGGCGTAGCAACTATTGCCACATGTTTTGCTCGTAGTTGTTCTTCCCAAAATCCCAGTGAGGGAGATAGGGACTGACCCAGAGGAGGAAACACATGTGGAGGAATTAAGTAGCTGGTTTAAGTTCTCAGAGCAGGCATCAGGGCGGACTCTGACTTGGACATTTACGCGCTTCATAAGTAAAGCCTTAGCCAACCACGTGGTCTCAAGTGGGACTATGCGGGGCACAGAGCTGCCTGCCAGGCCTGGAGCAGCTGTCTTTGAGCTGAGTCCTTTTCCTCTTCTGTTCCGCCATCCCCAGGTCTCATGTTCCGGATATACGTGATCGTGGGAGATCTTTGGTGCCCTCAGTACATGACCGTTAACTCAGTCTCTAAAAACATGTTTACTGACCACTGGGAATCCCCGCTCCAAGGCACCTGCAGTTAAATTAGGAAAATAGATAAATATACAGGTACTTCTAGTACATTGTAGTAAGTGACACATGGGCATCTGATGCATTCTTGGAAGATCAGGAAAGAATGTGCAGAGGAAGTCAAGTATAGCAAAGCATAGAGAATTAGGTGAGGATTAGCTTGGTGAAGGGCTGGTGGGAAGATGTTTCAGACACTCAGGTAGCAATAAATAGTTCATATGTTTGAAGCCCCCGAAGAACAGATTGAGTTTTGAAGGATTCTGTGATCGAGCAGGAAGCGGACAATTCCCAAAAGTGTTAACAGATTTACTCATAAATACCAATTGCTTAAGATGAGAGTAGTGGCAAAAAAATGGAAGAGGAAAAAACATAATTATAACAAACCAAAGAGAGGCAAAGCTAAGATGAAAGAGAAAAGGCATCCTTTCCATACCCAAATTAACTGCCTCTTAAATGATCAGCGTTCACCAAATCTAAGATCTGACAGGCATTGAGCAACCTGAACTGTGTATACCGTCTTAACAGGCAGTTTAAAGGGACATGTCGATTCAGACAAGGGCTTGACAGAAAAGTGAGACATTACTGGTCTACTCTTGCCCGGGCACATGCCTTCCAGCCTGACGAGTCTCTACCGATCATGTCTGTTTCTCCTCTGAAGCTAATGCTGGCTTTCCTCTCTAGGTGGGAAGCATGGTGTTTTTCAAATGCAGAAAAGGTTACCACATCCAGGGTTCCACGACTCGAACTTGCCTTGCAAATTTGACATGGAGCGGCATACAGACCGAATGCATACGTAAGTTGATTTTCCTCCACGCTCAGAAATCCGCTATTCGTTCTCCAACGTCTGGATAGGGTTTACCTGCAAGGGAAATAATGAAGGGCTGTTTTATTTTTGTCTGTTTGATGGTTTTTAATCCCTTAAATCCCCTTTAAGCATCAGCATCACTTGGGGGTCTGGCGGTAACATGAATTCTCTAGCCCCGCCCTAGACCCAGAGCCCCACTCTGAATCAGGAGCTCTGGGGGTCGGAGGGCGGTGGGAGAGTGAAGAGGAGGGCAGCAGCCTGCCGTTAACCAGGCCCCGGGTGGTGCTGAGGCACACCAAAGTCTGAGGAACTCCTGGAAAACAAAGGTGAGTGAGTAACATTGGAGATACCATTCACAGAGAGAAGACTGACTGGTGCATGCTATTATTATTCTACTCTGTTTCCATCAAGTCACTGAAGAGGCGATAAACTGGGCCGCCTGACACGTCAGAGTATAAATAGAAATATTTAAAATGTTATTTTTGAAGTCTATATGAATTGATCATTAAAATGATTACTTAGGATCAAATTTTAATTTTGTGACTTAATCATGAAAATTAGAAATGTTGTATGAATGATTAGTAAGTCAATTTTTCATCCTCTATCAATTTAGTAAAATATAGTATCTCACTCTTATGTTAAACATAAAATAATACAATGTTATAAAAAATTATTTTAATAGTACATAAGATGTGATTTTTGTACATTTATTTATCAGTATTATCAGATGTGTATTTATTTTAAAGTTGTCACCTCTATTCAAATTATATATGTGGGTATTACGTACAGACACATGCACATGCATATATGTATATAATATATACACATATAAATATATTATATATAATATATTATAATAAATATATATTGTGTGTGTGTGTGGAACTTGCTAATATCAGATCTTCATTGTGTTGAAAGTTTGCTGAAGTATAAAATATTACAATATTTAAAACAATTGCATTCACAATTTTAATATTGAAAACTTACTTTATAATAATCTGCCAAGTCCTTTACTTAAGACATATGTGTGAACTTTATAAAGAATGAAAAGTCATTTGAGATCTAAATGTTACAAACGTATTTACTCCTAAATTATATTTTTAAAGGAAAAAGAATCTGTACTATTTCGATTGTTTCTAAACACACGTCAGATTTTTACCAAAATTAATTATTCATTTAAATGAACAGTAAATTTGCTAATTGCCACCAGATGAAAATCAATACATATTTCTAAATATGTGTCAATCTGTATGTGTTTAGTTTATAAGACTGCTCCTTTAAGGAGATTTAGCACTTTATTTACCTTAATAGTCTATCAGTAGTGATCTGTTTATTTCAAAGCTGTGATTTCTATCCTAAATTTCTAGATATAATTAGTTACACACACACAGACACATATGTGGTGAGGGAGCGGTACACGTGTATATGGATGAGTGGGGTAAAGAGAGGAAGGAGGAGGAGGAGGAGGAGAGGGAGGGAGAAGCGCAGAGAGAGCTGGCAAATGCCACACGTCCGTTATGTTGTAAGTTGCACAGACTGGAATACTGGTGATATTTAAAGCTACTGTATTCACAATTTTAAATTGTAAACTAACTTTATAGCCATTTCCAAATTTGGGCTGCCTTTCTTTATTTCTCTAGATACATATGCTAACTCTGTCATGAACAAAGTTTCAGTGTTTCCTAATGGAATCAATACTGTTTCAGCGCACGCCTGCAGACAGCCAGAAACGCCAGCCCACGCGGACGTGAGAGCCATTGATCTTCCTACCTTCGGTTACACCTTAGTGTACACTTGCCATCCAGGATTCTTCCTCGCGGGCGGGTCTGAGCACAGGACGTGTAAAGCAGATATGAAGTGGACAGGGAAATCACCTGTCTGTAAAAGTAAGTCACTGAGGAGGAGGTGCAAACACATTCCTGCAGAGCACAGACCAGCACCAACTCCCCACCAGGCTAGCGCCCAGGCTTAAGATACACGAGTAAATACCCTCACGAAGTGATGTCAGTCAGCCCGACCAAATCTGTGCTTAATGTGTGTGAGCCGTGTGTGTGTGAACGTGTGTAATAAGTGTCTGATACAGTGGAGGCACACGCTGAATAGATGTATAGATTTTATTATTTGTTAGTCTCATTTTAACTCAAAAAGAAAAGCTACTTGGTTGAAGAAACATATTATGAGTTAAAAGGAAAGTAGCACACAATATGTTTTTGGAAAATGTATTTTTTAAAATGTCAACGGGCCAATAACACTAAGTGTTGGTGAATCTATAAATTAAACTTTGTTCTTTTTAAGACCACAAGCTGTTTGGTGGTGGAATATATGTTTATGTATTCTTGAAATTGGTTCTACTTTTTGAAATTACACAAACAATTAATGTGGAACTGATGCATTAATTACTCACAAATTTGTGTGTTTACAAATGAGAGTCATAACTCTGGGTCGGATTTGATGATAGCTAACCTTTCAGATTCCCGCCAAACACGGACTATATACGTGAGTGCTGAACAGCATAAACAAGAATTAGGAAGTGTGATGAAACCTTGACTTTGGGTCTAGTTTCCTGGAGTCTATTCATAGTTCTCAAGTTAGGGATTCTTAAGATACGTATGTTTTCCTTGCCCTTGTCTGTCAGAAATAGAAGAATGCAAACTTTAAAAGATGGTAGTTTGATACAAACTACAAAAGCTAAGAGGTTATGAGTTAAATCTAATTTGATAGACCAAATTAAACATTCTTCAAGGGAAATAATTTGCTGTTATTCAGTATGAACTTGTAGGTTCCTTGATTTGGGTGGAGACGTAGAAAATTGAGAGAGGTTATGACATCTTAGTTATTCTGTATATTACCTTCCAGTTGGGGGCAGCGTGTCCCAAACAGGAGTCAGACCCTGGGTATAAACCACCTCCTTTGCAAGGCTCTCTGTTGTAGCACACGTTAGCTCTGCCTTGATGTTCACCATTAAACTCAATTTTCCCACACACACAATGGCTATTCTGCTGTGAATATATGGGTTTACAATGGATAGGTATAAGAGATTTATATTTTGTACATTCAGGAAATCTGGAGGAAGGAAAATTGCTTCAATTTGACATTTTTTCAAACTTATTCAAAAATAACTGTTTTTGAAAATGATAATTTGTCTTTTTACTTGTAGGTAAAGGAGTGAGAGAAGTTAATGAAACAGTTACTAAAACTCCAGGTTTGTATACCAGAACAGTTACAGATTTAAGTCAAATGAAGTGACTTGTTCCCCACAATACTGTGTACAGTGAAACAAATTTTAACACATAAATTTCTGATTCCATTAGTCCATAAGCAAATTAATGTTTCAATTATTTAAAACACCAAGCCTATGCAGATTTCTATTTCTTTCCTAGCAGTGGTTTGTGAATGGAATAACAACACTTTACTTCAAAGGAAAACCTTTGGCATCATCACTCACTGTCTCATTGAAAGGTGCCTTAGGCATTGTGCCGGCAGAAATGGATATAAAACATTGATAAAAGGATGTGATATAATGGAGAGCCTTATAAAGAGGGTTGCAATTCTTTCTTTTAAATGAGGAAGCTAAAATAAATGAGGTGATATGACAGCATGAACTCTTAATTTGAGCAGTTCAAATGGAGAGCTCCATTTTTTTCCCAAGTATTTTCATAATTCAGGCTTCCTCTGCCTCTTAAAAGGTTAATTATTGCTTTTTGTTCTACATGGTACCTTGCTAAGTGCATGATATAGCAAATCGGAAAGATTGCAGTGCTGGTTCTGAAGGAAGGTGTTCATCACCCCAAATCTTCTGGTGTATTCTATCCATGTTATAAATTCAGTGAATAGTTAAATAATACAGTGTGTCCCCAAATTATATTTTAAGTCAAGCTTTTTTTCCTTCGTAAATATATAAGGCCACCTTCCTAGTGTTTGCCTTATTTGAGTTTTAACCACTGGCTTCTTAGACATAAAGCTCTTCTCCAGAATCAAATGTGGAAAGAGTACCAGTAATGCTACTGTTGAGGCCCAGTGCTGTGTGACACATTTAATTCTTATATGAGGCAAAAGGTCCCACGTGATTAAAGGAATTTCTCCAGTGTAGACCGTGAAGCATAAAAACTCCCTTTTTTAAAAAGAAGTCTTTCTAGACTACTCTATTTCAATGCTATTTACAAATTAAATACAGAAATCGATACTCTTTATCCAGGCAACATTTTCTTCAATGGAAGGAAACGCAATCTGTTGTTGTGATGGTGGTGTGCTTGCTCTGTTTTTGTTTGCTTACTTTTTGTTCCAGATGTTAAAATAGCTGCACACTTTTTTTTTGAAGTAACGTTATCTCATTCTCTCTGAAGGGAAGTGATAATTAAACGCGGTTCTTTATCAGGGTGGCACATTCTAACACACCTCGACTTTTGTTCCGTTACATTGCAAACTACCAGCAGCAAGTCAAATGACAAGGACTCGAAAAGAGCATCTTACCGCAGCACTGATGGTCAGATGCACATACAAACAAGCCACTTCTAAGACACTGGTCATGCCTTACTGGACCCAGTCAGGCGTGCCCCATTACTGCGACATGCCAACAAGAGTAGCTTAAGTAAATGGCTTGATCAAGTGCATTAACAGCTCAGCTGAGTGTGTAAATTCTAATTAGGGGAAACAGTCAATATTATTTTAAAAGCCATTAATTTTAGTCAGGAAAATAAATTCATTTTGAGCTTATGAATTAAAACTGGGCCTCTGTGATGCTGCTGATGGACTGGTAGAAGGATTTCATGTCAGTTATCAATAAGCAAATGTGTTAGATGTCTGTCTTATCTCGGTTTTAAACTTGTTTAATTTTTGTGTATGTGAGGAAGATTGTCGCTGAGCTAACATCTGTGCCAATCCTCCTCTATTTTTTGTATATGGACCTCCACCACAGTATCACTTGGTGAGTGATGTGTAGGTCCGCGCCTAGGATCTGTACCCGTGAAACCCAGGCCGCCAAAGTGGAGCATGCAAACTTAACCACTACACCACCGAGCCAGCCCCTAAACTTATTTAATTTTTAAAATGATTGTTATTACGAAGTTGGGTCCATTCAAAGCTATAGGAAGTGATTACATTCTGTTCTTTAACTCTTGTGTTGCTAGGATGTATTTTGTAGGTGTAGCCTGTCTAGAAAGACAGGAAAACAGCCAATTGGACTGAAAAGAGAAGCATGAACCCAGACACAATATCCATGCCCTCATCATCTGTTGTTATAACTGGATTTGCTAAAAAATATCTGTAGAGAAAAATGCATCTTTATTTGTACCCAGCAAGTCAAGCAATATGTTCCCACCAATTCTACTTACAGTGGATCTTGTCCACTTAAACATTTAGGCACCTCAGGAGGCAAAAGGCAAAGAGAAACTTAGTGGAATCATTGGTGTAGATTTACATCAGTTATCCTATAACATTTTATATTAATATTGTGAAAATGGCAGGGTATTATACATGTTTATTAACAGAAATGTGAAAAATAAGTTTAATTTTTTTACAACCAGTGAAAACAAGAGAGGATACCTTAATAATCTAAGTATTCTTGTGCCAGATGAATTTTAATGTTTTAAAAAGACTTTATGCCTTTTATTTCTAAATTTAAATAAAAGATAGAAGGATATATAATGTCATATATATGGCAGGCATATGTGTATGATATTTGACATCATTGAATCCAACTTTCTTGCCCATACTGGAATATTTTTTCCAAGGAGATTAAAGTAGAGTAGAAGAGCATGCACTGGCTCTACTTACAAAATAAAGACCTCAAGAAATAAAACACCTTGGTCTTCATACGCTGGGTGTGTCTAGTCAAAGTGGCGCATTGAAATGCAAGCTTTTTGAGGGCAGGAGTTTCCTGACAGATGATCTGTATCAGTTCTTCTGAGCCTTCCAAGTCTTTTGAAGAGTAGACTTGTGGGCTGGCCCTGTGGCATAGTGGTTAAGTTCAATGCACTCTACTTCAGGAGGCTGGGTTCTCAAGTTCAGATTCCAGGCAAGGACCTACAGCACTCATCAGCTATGCTGTGGCGGCGACTGACATAAAAAGTGGGGGAAGATTGGCACAGATGTTAGCTCAGGGCTAATATTGCTCAAGCAAAAAAAAAAAGAGGAAGATTAGCAACAGATGTTAGCTCATGGCTAATCTTCCTAAGGAAAAAAAATAGTAGACTTGGATATTAAATGAAATATCAGTAGTGATTTCCTGGATCAGTTTAATATATTTCTCATTAAGCACAATCAAATCTAACCCAATATTAGTAGTACCAATTACCCATACCCTCTGGCCTTGGTAGGTCTGTTAAAACAGGTATGCTTTGTCATCTAAAGTATTTCTCCAACAAAGTAACAAATGTATATTTGCATCTTACAATAATCTCCCTCCTCGTTTCATTGATGTTTACACATGCTAGGAGGGGACACTGGAATCGATCATCTTTGTCTTCATTGTCATTATTTGTGATGTCTCACTGAGCAGTATTACACCCTCTCTGTTTTAAAATACCTACATTTAATTTTTCTGCGTATGCTAACATTCATCTGTTTTTCCCCCCACAGTTCCTTCAGATGTCTTTTTCATCAGTTCGGTGTGGAAGGGATATTATGAATATTTAGGGAAAAGGCAACCAGCAACTCTCACCGTGGACTGGTTCAACGCGACAAGCAGCCAGGTGAACGCGACCTTCACCGAGACCTCTCAGGTGGAGCTGAGATTGACAGGTGGGCCCTGGAAGTTTTACTAAATGCGTATATGTTATCACAGAGGAGGGAGCCAACGTTTATTAAGTACTTATTAATATTACGTTGGCTTTGCATAAACTACATCTTGCTGGATCATCTCAATATCCATGGCAGGTTGGTATTACTTGCCCATTTTAAAGATTACAAAACTCGTACAGAAAAGTGAATGAATTTGCTCAAAATTATGCCCATATTAAGTCAAAGATGTAAGATTTATATCCAGATATGCACGTCTCCAAACTTCATTCTTTCAATATCTGGTTTTCTAACTCATTGCTCCTTTCGAGTTCTTTTCTCGTTCCAGAATTAACAGACTAACAACAGTTCTGATTTCTATGCCAGACACTCAGTACTACACATATATCACGTTTTTTTATCCTTACATCAATCCTATGATGTAAGTATTCTTATTGAACACATTTTTATCTATTAAAAAGAGAGAGAAAGGAGAGAGACAGACCGACAGACACACCCAAGAGTAGCCTTCCTAAGGGAACATGGAAGAGGTAGAATTTGAACTCAGCATCAGAATTTCAACAAACAGAATCTTGAGCCCACACTCAGTAAGACACTGAATCCCTTCATGCTTAAATGTAGTGTCTTTTTAAAAATTTTTATTTATCTTTTTACATATATTATTATTTTTTGGGGGGGGGAAGATTAGCCCTGAGCTAACATCTACCACCAATCCTCCTCTTTTTGCTGAGGAAGATTTGCCCTGAGCTAACATCCATGCCCATCTTCCTCTATTTTTTTCCCTTCTCTCCAAAGCCTCCCAGTACACAGTTGTGTATTTTAGTTGTGGGTCCTTCTAGTTGCGGCATGTGGGATGCCACCTCAGTATGGCTTGATGAGCGGTGCTAGATCCGTGCCCAGGATCCAAACTGGCGAACCCGTGGGCTGCTGAATTGGAGCACACGAACTTAACCACTTGGCCATCAGGCGGCCCTCACTTTGTGCGTGTTAGGATATGGAGAGGAGCGGTAGAGAGAGCAGATTCCATAGCTATTAGCACTTTTAAGGGGAAGATCATGTGGTCCGCAGTCTTCAGCCTGCTGTCTTACTGACTTACAGAATGCTGTAAACTGAGCTACGTGTTAATGAGAGGAAACCAGGATGCTTGTTCATAGCTGGGGTTTGTTTTTTAAGGCAAGTTACCTGCCGTATTTTTCTCTTTTTTTTTTTTTTTGAGGAAGATTAGCCTTGAGCTAACTACTGCTAATCCTCCTCTTTTTTCTGAGGAAGAGTGGCCCTGAGCTAACACCCATGGCCATCTTCCTCTACTTTATATGTGGGATGCCTACCACAGCATGGCTTTTGCTAAGAAGTGCCCTGTCTGCACCGGGGATCCGAACCGGTGGACCCCGGGCCGCCAAGAAACAGAACATACGCACTTAACCGCTGCGCCACTGGGCTGGCCCCTACCTACTGTATTTTTATGGCAGGAAGGAGAAAAGGTGTTAAAATGGTTTCTAATGAAGTCAGATATTTAAATGCTGAATGACCAATGTGTTTTATGGAGACAAAAAAACCAATAAATGATAAAAAAGAAAACTCACTTCTGACAACAAGGTATTTTTCTATAGACCAACTCCTAAAGGCTTGTGACTCTCCCTAAGTCATCCGCAAGGCCAGCCTGCTTCTGAACACCCAGAGGCCCCCAGATGGCACCCACTTTCTCCGCAGTCGCTAGACTGCCACATGCTTGATCTTTAGAAACTATGATAACGGGTCAAGATTTTCTGCCATTCCTCACATCCACTTTCCTACTTCTTTGTGAGAAAACATCTGAAAATAGTACACACAGCCTGGATTTAGGAGAAGCAGAATCATCCATGCTCATAGATTTTTAACAAGTACATACTTAGGAATTCATGGTCTGGGGGCCCACACGTCGCTCTGCATCTTGAACCTGTGAGTGTGTAAATGGTTTAGACCAAGTGCTGCCATCTGGTCATGGATCAGAATAAGCAGAGGAACTTTTTAAATATTCAAATTCCCCAGTCTCACCCAACTGCATTGGATGATCTATTTTTTTTCCCCAAAGAAAACGCTCCAGTATGATTTTGATGCGGCTGATGTCCGTAGATCAGTGTTGGGAAGTCTCTGGTCTAGACGGGAAAGTGTTTGGATCAAGTGTCATTCCAGCTGAGTCTCGGTGGACATATGGAGACTTCTTGGCATGTGAATTCTGATTCCCCACGGAGGAAGGGACGCTAACATTGTGGAGTGCCAGCTAGGGCACAGATTCTGCTGGATGCTGTTATTTAATCAGCATAAAAAATATCCCATAAAGATATATTTTATGATCTCTACTTGTCACTCGTAAAACTGAAGTTCAGAGTTTTAGGGGTTAAACCCATTGCCCAAAACACAGAGCTGCTGATGGCGGAAATGGGCATCAGCCCAAACTAAAGCCTTCAGGGGTCCTTCTTGTCAGTTGACTTGAACAATGGGTTCCTTCCGTTCTGTGCGCTCGGCCATGCAGAGGAGTCCTGGGATACTAGAGCTCCGCATCTCTAATCTGAGTGAGTGGGAATTGACTGCTGCACTCTCTGAGCCTGTCTTCTCTGCACAGGAGACATTAGGGTTCATCACTAATGGGTTAATATTTTGATATTTGTTTGTTTATTCATTTATTATATCCTTTGTGTAGGGAGCTAGCAGTAGCTGCAGGCATATTTCCTGTCTGTTCCCCATCCTAACCACTCCGGGCATCATGATGAAGCAATCCTGCGAGGCAGGACTGTGTAACCACTTCGTTCCCAAGATCCTATGGCCACACAATACGTCCAACACGCTTCGTTCGCTGTGCTATTCGTTTCAAATTAATGGGTGCAATTCATCTTTATAAGGAGCTATATTTAGGGTTAGGGTTATGGTCTCCTTTTTCTACATACTTCTCAGAAGTGACTAAAATAGGAATAAGAAATGCTAGATTTTAAAAATTAATATAATTGAATGTGTATTCCTTTCATCATTTCCGTGGGATAAAGATGTTGAATTTAGTGAAGTGGATTATACTCATTCAAAATTGATGAGGACTTTAAGAGGAAGTGATTTTAAGGAAAAAAGAAGTGCCGAAGCTGAAATTTAAAAATAAAAATAATTTCTGTTACCTATGATATTATCATCTCTATACCATATTCCAAATCAAATGGATTGAATGCCTGAATTATTAACTCTTGTGAATTCCTGCAACGTGAGAATAATCGACTTCCATCTTTTTGCAGGTGTTTACAAGAAGGAGGAGGCCCACTTACTGCTGAAAGCTTTTCAGATTAAAGGTCCCATAGATATTTTTGTCAGCAAGTTTGAAAACGACAACTGGGGACTGGATGGTTATGTAAGTACTTTGTGAGGGTTGTCACAAAGCACAGATTTTCTCGTCCTTGCTGTCTGCACTGAGGCAGGAGCAGCAGAGGAGGTTTCTTTCTGAGAGGAGCTGTGTTGCGTCTGCCCCTGGAAAACTCAGCCGTCCCTCTTCACAACAGCTTGGCCATTTTACTGCTTCATTTCATAGTGAAGAAACCTCATCTCTGAAAGGAGAAATAAATTGGCCAAGGGTACATGGGTTGTAAACGGCAGAGACAAAACAAGAACGCAGATCCATGTTCTGTGCTTGTTAACACGACTTTCCACCCTAAGGGTGGGGCCGAATCTTTCCAAAGCTATCAAAAATTTCAAAAATAGTCATTCCCAGGTAAGCAGAGAGACTCAAGATGCCCTCCTTCATATCCTTCTTTGCAAGTTAACCATTTGTTTGGATTCTCATTCATTATCTGACTTAACGATGTACAGCCTTACATGAAGTGCACCGGCCAATAGTCATGACACAAAGTGAGTCTTACATAATGTAGGTTATGTATTAATGCATATATTTATCCCCCTTGGCAAATGATAGCGAACCTATGAAGACATTGTAAAATGTACTGCCTGTTTCAAGATCAAAATGAGATTGTGAGAATTTATGTTTGTTCAGGTTCACCTTTGTATTTTCCAATCTTTAACCATAAATGTGTCACTGAAAGGAAAGACAAAAATAAACTATTTAGCCTATAATATTTAAATATAAGAAATACAATTATACTATAATAAAAGAACAGATTACTATTAATCCTTTGTATGCGTTTACCTTCCTTTTTGTGCATGTTAGGTATCGTCAGGACTTGAAAGAGGAGGATTTACTTTCCAAGGTGATATACATGGAAAAGACTTCGGAAAATTCAAGCTTGAAAGGCAAGGTAAACTGCACTTAGGATATTTTTTTAAGCAAATATCCGTTTGGCCTTCAAATGATTATGCTGAGAAGTAATGAAAAGGTCAGGACTCTGAAAGAAACATGAACAAACATATTGGAGAGACTAACATATTTACAGATGAATGGGAAAAAAATTCCTCTGAACAACAAAATAAACAAAGCTGGAAAAAGTGCAATAAATATGCCAGACATGAGATTAGTATTCTTACTATATAAAGACATATTAAAAATAAGGGAGAAAAAAGCAAAGGCAAAACTCAGTTAAAAAAGAAACAAACTACATTATCCTAAGAAAATCATTAAGTAAGAGTAATTAGAATTGGCCAACAAACCATGAAAAGGTCTTCAACTTCAAAAACGTATATTATGGCCACAAAGATCATTTTTAGTTATCAGAATGGCAAAGTTTTAAAAAAATGATTCTGAGTGGGCAGTAGAAATAGGCATTCAGGTGTTGAATTTTGGTGGATATATGAATAGATATGTACAATTTGGCAATACTTTTTCATCCACCAATTCTATCTCTAGAATTTTTAATCAGACAAGTGTGAAAAGTGTTCTTTGCATCTTCAGGTGTGTTTAAAGCAGGCCAGGCTTTAATAGTTGACAGTAGAAATAACCTGTATATCTTACACATCTATCACAAAGGAATTGCTTAAATAATTTTATGCAATGTGTTACATTAAATAGAAAAGAGTGTCATTCAGTTTCTTCGTTAAGGGAATGAGGACTATATATTGACGTGGAAAGATGTTCATGACTTAGATATGACAAAAAAAAGTTTCCTGTAGACAGACAGACAGGCAGGCAGACAGGCCCTTCTTCCTTATTTATGTCTTTCTCCACGACTTGATTTTTACCTTAGTAGTTAGAACAGGAAAATATATGTGAAAAAACACTAGATTTGAATCTTACCTTACGCACTTGTCAGTTTTGTAATCTAGGATGAGTGACAATGCTCTTGAGCCTGTTTCTTCTTCTGAAAACTCAGGAGAGAAGTCAGTTCTGGTTGTCAGGAAGATTAAGAGACAATGTAAGCATTAGCCTTCTGCGTGCTAAGCTCTTTTCACACAAAAGTCATTACTATAGTTGTTGCTACCAACACAGAGGAGAAAATGCATTTTTGTAAGAGATTAGCACCGAATTTCTCCTGAATAGTCTAAACCACTTTGTACCTTACTTGTAGAATTCTATTAACGTATTAATTTTATAAAGAAGAATATTGTCATATAGACTTCAACACCACGGCTGCCTTCCAGAGGCACAAGAGTGTAATATTTTGAGAAGATTATCACGGATAAACTCATTTCATGAGACTTTTATCAAAATACTGAGGGATTCCACAAGAAATGTATGCCAACCTGTATCGTATCAAAGTTAAAACAAAAAAAAACTTAATCAAAAGGATAATTAGTCATAAAATATTCTAATTCCACCATCCCAAACTCAGTAGTTTTAAATAGAAGAGCTTCAAATTATAATGTCAGCAATGGCTGAGATGATATTTTAAATTGGGTTATAGTATTTTGAGGTAATGAAGTAGAATAAATGCATTAGACCAACACTAATGATGGTTCAAGTTTTCTCTTGCTCTAAGCCAAACCCTGCAGTTATTTGTCCTCCTTTCTCCCTGTGGCACACGCTCTAGTAATTTCATTTAAGGACACCCCAGTGAGCTGTCCAGATCCTCTGTGGATGTCTGAGTTTACTCATCCAGTGCACCTGACCTGAACGATCAGTTTGCTGTTGCAAATTCCCTCTGCATTACCCCATTTCTTTTTAATGTAGCAAAATAACACCTTGCCTTAACCAGTAATCTTTATTCCCATGTGATGATGAGCTCACTGTCAGGGAAAACAATTTGCCTCACAAAACAATTTGAATCACAAGCAAGTCTCCCATTGAACTAATTGGAAAAGTCTATGTTTAAGTAATGCTTTAATAACAACCATTCATTTGAGAGTTATGGCTAAATTGTATTTTGTCAACAGATAAACTGGAAAAAAAGTGATTATCATTAAATGGCTACTAAACCAAGTCAGTCTGAAAGACAACTCTAATGTAGAAACTTGTGTAAGAAACTGAACAATGAATTGGTTTCCCCATTAAAATTGAAGTCAAAATTTTCAATAAAATAAAAATAAAACTTTACAAATTTTTAATTAAAATTAAAATTTCCCCCATACATACAGAAACAGAATAGGAGAAAATATATGCAAGTCATGTACCTGATAAGGGACTCGTGTCCAGAATATATAAAGGGCTCGTATGGCTCAATAATACAGAGACAAATAACCTAACTAAAAAATTGGCAAAGGATTTGAATAGATACTTCTCTAGAGATATACAAATGATCAATAAGCACATGTAATGATGCTCAACGTCATTAGTCATTAGTGAAATGCAAATCAAAACCACAAGAGACACCACTGCACATCTACTAGGAAAGCTATGGTTGTGAAGACGACAAGTGGTGGCAAAGATGTGGAGAAATTGGAACTCTCATACTCGGCTGATGGAATGTGAAAATGACACAGCTCCTGTGGAAGACAGTCTGGCTGTTCATCAAATAGTTAAACATAGAGTTACCATAAGATCCAGCAATTGCACTCCTACGTGTATAGCCAACAGGACTGAAAACTTATATTCACATAGAAATTTGTACACGAATGCTTCTAGCAGTATTACTAATAGCCTAAATGTGGAAACAACCCAAATGTCCATCAACTAATGAATGGATAAACAAAATGTACATCCATACAATGGAATGTTATCTTGAAAACACTATGCTAAGTAAGAGAAGCCATTCACAAAAAAACACATACTTATGATTTTATTGATATGAAATGTCCAAAACAGGTAAATCTATGTAGACACAAAGTAGATTAGTGGTTGCCCAGAGGAGGAGGTTGGGGGAGCGGAGGATGGGGACTGACTGCTAAGGGATACTGGGTTTATTGTAGGGAGACAACAACCTTCTCACCTTAGATTATGGTGATGATGCCAACACCATGTGAACATCAAAAAACCCTTGAATTGTATGTATGCTTTAAATGGGTAAATTCTATAGCATGTGAATTTCTTTCAATAACGCTCTTTGAAGAAATTGAATGGCCTACCTTGTAACATGTGCAAAGGTCCTCATCCTCATTCTTAAGTAAAGATATGAGAAAACTACTACATACAGTCTTCGATTTATCTGAGGAGCAGCAGTAGCAGTCATGATAATATGAAGAGGAGGCAGAATGGGAGGAGGGAGGGGTGGGAAATGGAGGGACAGGAGGTGGCAGTTAGATATTGTACAACTAAATATTATAAATAATATTTATGATATAATATAATTATTATAATAAACTAAATAATATAAGTAGATGTTATACAACTATATAATACTAAAAGTTACAAATTCTGTTAGGCAATGATTCTACTTGTGAGAAATCATCCTGTGTATTTAGGCTCCTACTGATGTATAGCTGTAGAAAAAGAGTTTCATTGCAGCATTTTAGAAAAAAGACTAGAATGGCCTAAAACTTCTTCAAAAGAAGACTGGCTAAATAAATTCTGACATATCCAATTAAAAGAATTCCATAGGGGCCGACCTGGTGGTGCAGTGGTTAAGTTTGCATGTTCTGTTTTGGTGGCCTGGGGTTCGCCGGTTCAGATCCCAGGTGCGGACATGGCACTGCTTGTCAAGCCATGCTGTGGTAGGCATCCCACATATAAAGCAGAGGAAGATGGGCACAGATGTTAGCTCAGGGCCAGTCTTCCTCAGCAAAAATAGGAGGATTGACAGCAGATGTCAGCTCAGGGCTAATCTTCCTCAGAAAAACCAAACCAAACCAAAACAAACCAAAAGAAAACAAAACTAAAAGAATTCTATATACCTAAAAAATTTAAATCTGATTCATATCTTCTGATGGAAGAACCTCAAAAACATATAGTTTTAAGTTTAAAAAGCCAAATACAAAATATGTACACAGTATTTGCATTTTTTAGAAAAGTAATAAAAGAAACAAATATATATATAGTATATTGCTGGAAGGACACTCAAAAAATAAAAACCCCAAAAACCCAACAACCACAAAGAGGAAGTAAGCCTTTATTTCCATTGTCCTTTATATTATTTATTTTCATATCTTTGTATGCCATTTTAATTAATATCATGTGCATGTATTATCCTTTAAATCATTAAAATAAGGGTAAATAACTGAAATTAACTAGGAGCTCCTGAAAGCATAATGATTTCAGAGTAAGGTTGGTTGTTTAATTCACAAGGACTTTCTTTCATGTTGCTCTGTGTTAGGATGTGACGTCTCTTGTGGCATGTGGATTTTCCAGGATTTTATTGATTAAAAGTCTAATATCTATTATGTCCAAAAGTTCTGTTTGCAGAACTTAATTTAAGCAGAATACAAACGTGTTAGAATGAGGCCAAAAGACTCACAGAATTATGGAAACCTCGAGAATGAGGTATTGTAACTTAAGGGAAACCAGTGGGTGCTGAAATCCTACAAAGACAGCAAGACTTTTTCATTTCAAAAACAGATATCGAGCACATATTGTCTTCTAGGCTCTATTGTAGGCACTGGGACTTCAAGAGGAGAACCAGCCGAAAAACTAGCCTGGCATGATAGAACTTATATTCCAGGAAATATAGGTCCTCATGAACTTCTGCTAGGTGCCAGACACTGTTCTAAGTAGCTGCGACGTCCTGGGGTTTTAATTCTCACAACAAACCTGTGGGGTTGGTGCCATCTGAGCCCTGTACCGAGGTTCTCCCTGTCACACAGTGCCGTGCCTGGTGGCTGGGTGTTACTGCTGCTCCACCGACGCCCACACTCTGCCTGCTGTTCCTGGAATCACCACCAGGGGCATCTGGTGTTCCCACTAGGGTTCTAGGCACCACCACAGCCATGAGAATCAGTTCTAAACCATCTCAGGATGCTTTGCATCACTCACTCGAAGTTCAGGGCCCAGATAGGGAGCATCCAGTTGACTTAACTCTGCTAACATGCACATCACCTGAATGCTGAGATTAGAGGGAACAGTATTAGGCACTTCCCCTTGCATCGTAGGTGGTGACTGCTTTTGACAATGAAAAATTAAATCTGACTCATATGCGTCAATATGGAAGAACCTCAAAAAGATATGATTATGTTACAAAAAGCCAGCATCAAGGATAAAATACGTTCCTATTAGATCTTAACATGGTAGAAAGTAGCATAATCCTGCATCTATTGAAGCAAATGAAAATGATGTTAAGTTTGTATGTGAAAATTCAAGAATTTTTATTTAAAAAGATATTCAAGTGTTTTTAAATATTTTTTGTTTGCATTTATTGTTTGTAAAAAAAAGTGAATCAAGATTTCTTTCTATTTAATGTCCCATAAATTCAAGAAATCTACTTCTAAAACCAGGTCATCTTTTTAAAATAATTCTGCTACGTTCAGATGACCCCAATCATAATTCATTACACATGTGCATTGAGTGAATCCATGCAATTAAGCCAAATACATTTCTAAATCGTATTTCATAAGTAAACTCTTCAAGAACAAGCTTCTGTATGTTTGCATCTCTCTCAATGTCCTGCATATGTTTGCCACTGTAGATATGAATTAAAGAGCTAATGATTATATAGTCTTTGCAGTGTTAGATGTTTAGATCAATCTTCCTTTCTAAGGAACAGAAATCACGTTTTACCATTCTTTTGTGTCCTTATAGAAACTTTCATTATAGCACTTAGGTGCTTTCTTCTTTTGAGTATTTCTAAACTGTGTAAGGAATTTTGGAATCTACCTCAAATAAAAGTAGATTATACTAATATATTCACATATGGAGAATATAATGCCATTTATATAGAGATCTGGGATATTTATGCAATTTCGGTGACGTTTTGCTGATTCTGCTCCTTAGGACAGGAGAAAACAGCAAATACTACCCATCTCTGTATGTAGATAAAGCCATATAGATACTTTCAGTTAATTTTTACACAAATGCAAATATCTATAACTATAAGCAAAAGTCAGAATGTAGAGTGCCCTTTGCCTTTCTTACGCTGGAAACATGAGGCCCCTTCATGGTATCATTGAATGTCAGTAAGTAAAATCTTTTGAAAAGACTATCAGTTAGTTCTCTCTGGAATTACAACTTCCTCTGCTTCTTGTATAATTTATATTCATTTATAAAATTTATCATAACTTTACCTTTGTTTAAGCATAAGTGCAGCAACTGCAAATTAAACATTCTTCTTCTTTTCCAGATCCCTTAAGCTCTGGTCAAGATTCTTCAAATCATTCCCACGGCACTAGCAGCGGGTCTGTCGCGGCTGCCATTCTGGTTCCATTCTTTGCTCTAATTTTATCAGGGTTTGCATTTTACCTCTACAAACACAGGTACTGTGCAACGTCATTTATTTGCAAACATTGTTATGGTAAATTATTGGTTTGCTGACTGTGCATGCTCTCCCACTCACAGGCACATATATTTTATACCACTATGCACTATTCTCTCCTAGGGTAAGAATGCTCATACGGCAAAGTTTTGTTTTGTTTTCTTTATTTGCCATACTTTTTCAGTGAGACATCTCTGAGTAATAAACTTTAGGAGAATAAGTAAGTAGATTAAGACAAAACATGCTACGTTTTTTGTTCCACTGAAAGATGCATTAAAGGATCTTGTTCCTACCTTCGAGCTCTAGGACCAACCATCAGGAGCATTGAGGTGGCCTTTCCCCTTTCCAGCAGAAGATTGAACAGAATGATCTCCTCTTTCAACTCCATGAATCTATGATTTATAAATTGTTCATTTATTCCTTCCTTCAACAAATACAAATTCAGTTCATACTGTGTACTAAGCAATACTAATGGTCTGTCTCTTGAAAAAAATGTCCTGGATATATATGAATTTGTATATCCCTACTAACTGGAAAATGTCAAAACTTGGAGAAAAAAAACTTTAAGGAAATTGACCCTTTCCTTGGGGTTGAGATGGATGCCAAAAAGAAGAAATCAAAAATATATTTTGGAAGAAATATAAATCATTCTTCATTTTGTGTCTATATGGAATAATACATTACCTGGAGGAATTTGGCATATGCCAAACTGCCCGAAAACACTGTTGAGAATAGCAGATTTCCCTAAAAATAACAATAAAAAAATTATGATCCCCTGAAATAAGATTAAGATATATTAAATGTGTCCAATGTTTATTTATATAATACAGACATTTCTACTTACTTCTGGTTAAAAAAAACTGGTCTGAGGATGTTGGTTTTTTTTTTTATGACATAGAATAGCTTTAAAAATGCATTCTTATACTTTTTTAAAAATATAAAATAGTAAGAATCTTACTTCAAAATTATATTGTATTAGCTGTTCACAGGTGTGTTCTCGCTTTCCTGTGGTTGGTAATGTTCTTACTTTAAAAAGATAACCCAGTGACAAGAATCTCAAATGGTGTTTACAAAACTAAAGATTGGCACAGCTGTATTAATTAAGTATTATTATTTTTATTTTGAAGAAAAAATATCCTATGTGCACAAGTCTGGTAAACCTTATCCTTAAATTTCTACTTGGAGCTAGTTGAAAATTTAGCAAATGTGGAAATATATCCCACTGCCTTATCCTGTAAAATGCCATCATTACAAATGCTTCTCTTCTTATAATACAAGTTCCTCTTTTAATATAAATTAAAAATATATCTTTCACACATTTCTCTAGGATATATAATATCCATACAGTAGGAACTTTTTATAATTCCTGCAAATTCACTTTTGCTTTTTTTTGGCTTCCACGTTAATCCCAAGGGAAAGATGTAGTTCATTAAAGATCGCTTTCCCCACCTTTTGACATGTTGCCTGTCAGTGGGGACACCTCTGGTAACCTGCTGTGGTTCCCTCTGGCCGCCCCACGTGCCTGAGATGGACAGCATCCCCACACGTCACCGAGTTTTCCTCGATGCTCACCGAGTTTTCCTCGATGCCCCTCCCAGGGATGCAGACCTTTATACAAGTCTCAGAGAAAGCTATTTTCAGCATCTCTCTTGTCCTTTAAAAAGATAAGCCCACACCATTGTATATACTTATACATCAATTAAACATTACTTCTGATTATGTCTTAATTTTAAGACCACATGGCATTGGGAGAATATTCAACATACTCCACAACGATAGTCTATAAACCTTAGAAGCTTCCCCAGAAACATTCAGTATGAGATGCGTCAGTGAAGGTAAGGCAGGGAATAGATCTCAGATTAGAAAGCCAGACAGGAGGGAGCAAATAAGTGTATTTTTTATATGAATCTGACACCTACTTTGCATTTCCACTCCTGTGGGCTGCTGGGAAATTTAACCTCAGTGTGAGTGTCTCTCTTCTCAACGTGGCTCCTCATCCAAGAGGCTGCCCTGTGTCTGGAGACTGGAAGGAGGCTCTCTGGTCTGATGGCTACCAGGAGAACAGTTCTTAAGCCACCATGACTTCTAAATCTGTAGAGTCTTGCAGTTCCCTGCTTCTGTGTTATGTGAGGGCTGTGGGGATTTTTGCAGGAGGAAGGAACGCATGCCCCATTGCCCAGGTGCTTCTTCTGAGGTCTTGCCACCTGCCTGGGAACCCACCAAGCGGGTAGCTTTCTCCCCACGGGCTCCCTACCCTCTACAGATATCAAAATTCCTTAAGGAGTTGGCGCTTTACTTCTCCAGATAAAACCCTGTTTCCGCTCATTTCTGAGTTTCTCCCCTTACTTGTGTGCTTGGAGTTGTTTTCTTGATCAGAGCCAGGGTTCCTGACTCAGGACGTCAACATGATTTCCGTCTCAGCAGCCCCAAAGTCTGGTCCACCACTGTAGTGTTTCCCTGGCAATGAAGGAATCATGGTGACTCGTGACCTGGGAGATTAAATGAACGTTTTAGCCAGGTCTAAGCTTCATTAACATTTGGCTGAATTTGTTTACTAACCTTTGCTACTGGAGCATTTTCAAGTTCAATGTCAAAGACCTCACCAGCCCCTAGGCCATTTGCAAACTGCTTTTCTGCTGACAGAAACCTACTTTTCTAAGATTCACACACTTTTTAGTTCTCTGTTTCTTAATGAACATATTATAACTTAAGAAAATCCACTAGGAAATCACTGAAACAGAAGTTTCTTTACATCCAATATCAAGTGATGTTTTTGCTAGTGTAATTTACATTAAAGTTCTGTTTTTAACAGAAAAATTATATATTTTTCTTGTATAATTTCTTCTGAAAATAGCTGGGGGCAGACTCGATAGCTTTAAGTATTATATATCTAAAAATCTTTTCATTCTCTAATCTTACATAATATATATGAGTTTTCTTTTAACCAGAAAATGTGAACAATAGCTCAATAATGTATATAGTGTCTTTCCTATAACTTACTCAGTAGACACAAAATTATGTTACAGAAATACCAACATTTGGTGAGTGTTAGTTACAGCAGTAAACTCAAGTTTATGTTTGTATTTTAGTTTAGTCATGGCCATCCTGAAGGGTGAGCGTCTTGGTTAAAAATTCTTCCTCTACGTGATGATTGGTGACTTACTCAAGGTCATATGGCTCATAAGTGATAGACCTCAAAACCAGACTCTATCTCATTCTAGCACTGGTGACCTTTCAATTTTGCTGGGACTGTTAGTAGAAATCAGATAATTCTTTGGTTTTGGGAACGGCTTCAGTTCTCTAAACCTTCTTTATAATCCCAACCAGCAATGTAAAGAAATGAATTACAAATTCGTGAGGATGTGCATGGCTCCCTGGGTTGTAGGCCATCACATCTGTGTTGTTGCCTGCTGACGGAGGCGTCCTTTCACGTGCAGAGTCCCAGCTGTGAGGTCTCCCTTCTTGAAGTCAGGGTCCTCACTGTTTGTTCCCTCTTTTCCTTTCAGAACAAGACCAAAAGTTCAATACAATGGCTATGCCGGACATGAAAACAGCAATGGACAAGCTTCATTTGAAAACCCCATGTATGATACAAACTTAAAACCCACAGAAGCAAAGGCTGTGAGGTTTGACACAACCCTGAACACAGTGTGCACAGTGGTATAGCCTTCAGTGCCCGACGGACTGATTCATAGCCATACCTCTGACGGACAAGCAGGAACCCTTGGTGCCATATATCACTCTCCCCTACTCTTGGCTTTGCTGCAGCAACCTTTCACATCGACCGGCATACACGCAGCAGGAATTCCAGTCTAACGTGCCAGAGTCTTCTGAGGATCGAACTCCAACCCTAGCTTCATTCTGAAAGTGGATTCTAAGTGCCCGGCTGCAGCCGCTTGAAATGAAGGCACCCTTAAGGAAGACTGCCAGGTCAGGCCAACACGTCGTACTTAATGCCTCCGACTTTCCTGTTTCTGTGTGGCTGGAATGCCTTTCAACGCAGTCCTCTGGGCACGTGGATACATCCTTTGGGCGCGGTGACAAATGGTAGCACCACAACATGTGTTTGGTTTTTTTAACCCCCATGGATACGAATACTCTGAAAAAAAAGAAAAAAGCTCTCTTGAAGAAGACACCTTTCTGGTAGATGCACACACCTACAAATGCTTCCCTCTGTCCTTCCTGAGACCTGACAAGCTTTGAGGAACTCACAGCTCACCTTGGAGTCCATTCCTAGGGCCATTTGCAAATTTCCTAGTCAGCTGTTCTATTGCAGAATTTTTGATGCACAATTTTTTGCACTAGTGTGTTATGAATGACTAAGATTCTGATAAACAAACTATTTACACAGGGTTTATACACACTATCCATTGTATATAAGCATCCTCTCACATTGTCAAGCTAAACATTCCACCATCCGTTTAGTTGGCGTGTTAGAAAAAGAAAAAAAAATCCCCAGATATGGCACAGGTTTTAAAAGGAAAATACCGCATTCAAGAGATTTATTTTATTATTGCTTCTTTTAGCTACATGTACGTGTTGAATTCACTGAAGATATCCAAGGAGAAAAAAAGAGGCCTTTTTATTTCCCACATTTATCTTATTTTAGTACTGTCGTCATTCTATTATTGTCAATATTATACTCCTTACTAGCAGGGGGTTTGCAGTGATTTCTATTTGCCATGTAAAAATGTGAATAGTAATTTATTTTAGATAGCTCATGAACTTGTGGGTTTTAGCTCACAATACAGCCTTCCCTTTGTATCATGTTTTTTCTTTTGCTGTGTCATCACTCTGATAGTACATTGAAAGACAGCATACCACAGCGGCACCCGGAACTCAGCAGGAAGTGTTCAGGATCAAAATACCAAGTGTTTCTTTGGAGGCAAAGAAAAATTACACACACTCTTATTTCCTGATGGTTTATTTTATATATTAGTTTGTGTTTGTTTTATGCTTTATAGTTCCAGACGGAAAGAAAATTTTGATGAGTTTTCAAGGTCAAAATTCATTATAGGTAAATTTATGAATTGCGGTATAAATAAAATAGGTGTGATCTCCATGTGCATAAAATCAAGTGTGAACTAGAAGTTGTGGCGATGAGAATGTGTGTGTAACAGACTCAAAGTAAAGATCGTGTTTATTTTTATTTACAACTGTTTGATAAAAGTATTTGAAAGGACAATGCTTATTTTATGATTTGGTTTTTAAGTACATATTGCAGATATTGAAAATTTCCCCGACCTCACATTCCAGGGGGCATCAATAGAGACGTCAGAGGTGTTAATTGGCCGTCCACTTCACTGTCATGAAAGTATTCACACCTAGCTTTAAGACCCGTATATTTGTTTGTCTATTGCATATTTAAATGCAAGACTTCAGAAGTGAAAAATGAAAGAAAAAAAACTGTCAGGATAATAACTCGTTCTTTCAAGTCGTGCGTTTTGATGTGAATTTTTCAGCAGATCTTTTCTGCTTGGCCCCCACTATGCTGAGGCTCGTTCGAAGGGCCACGTGCTGTTAGGAGGGCATAAGTGACCTCTTGCGGTTACTGCCTCGCCTTTTGAATTCTATTTTATTAGGCTGAAATCTCTGCATGCTTTTCTCTGGCCACCCTGGACAACATTACTGGAGATTTGTTTTGCACCCTGGAGCCCTTCCATCACTCCGTCTCTTTAGACAGATGGGGTCAGCCAGAGCCAGGCTCCTAACGCAGACCCTGAACAGAAACAAAGAGAAAACGTGAGGAAGTCTGAGGATCGTCATGTGCAGGGGAGAACAGGGTTACTATATATATTAGGTGTATATATATATATATACATACATACATAGATATAAATATATTGTACATATCTAAGTTTGAGTCATTCAAACTGGGTGCAAAATGCTGACTTCAGAGTCTGAATTAATGTCTCTCTTCCCACATCCCTGACCTGCTTGCTGGTCAATGATGTTACGAAATCCTGAAATGACAGGACATACACACATGCAGGAAACCACATATCAGATTAGATATCATTTTCCTTTGTGAGTATCCTTCGGTTGCCAGTCTAGAGCATGTTATTGAAAAAAAACAAAACTCCATGAAATTCTCCTGTAAGAATTCTGCCTAGTTTCTTCCTAGGTGTGTGCAGTATCTATTCAGGTCTCCCGCGATCGAGGGGTTGGAGGGCCTTGTCCAGGCAGCTGGCGAAGGCGCTTTCTGAGTTCGGGCTAGAAGACTCTTTCCGGAAGCAACCAGAACACATGCGAGGGCACGCCCCCATGCTAACACAGGTTATGTGCTTCGAAGCTGTTTAAAACTGCTGCTTGTTTCACACGTCTTGCCTTTCTTCAGGCTAGCTGCAATAATTTTTTTCTTCTGTAAAATATTTTGTAAACAACAACAAAAAAAGCTATTATAAAAAGGGGAAAGAGAACGCTGGCATATGATCAGGAAAACCCATCATCACCCCCCCACCGTCTTGCCATCCCACCACATGCTGCTGACATGAAGTAGGTGCAAAAGACCTTTTTGTACAGAGATATATTTTTTATGAAGAATTTGTAAAATTATTAAATATGCTGTAATTTTTTGATTAATGTAGGTAAATTGTTAAAAAATAAATGTTTTTACAATACAAAACTGTAATTTTCCCAATAATGTACAATGGACCATCTCTAGCTGATTTTCAGTTCCAATCCTATTACACATGTATTAATATTAAAGTGGCCTGTTAAAATGAACAGTATCTTTTTTTGTCAAAAAAAAAATTATAAAGAGAGTGGACTATAGCCTGTATAATGCCACCTATCTTTAAAGCAAATCAGAGTTCTAATTAAATATTTAATTTTAGATTTCGATTTTTCGGCGTGAGTTTATTTTAGCTTTAATAAGTGCATGTGATTCAGTGGAAGGGGAGGAAGAGGATGGAAGTGTTTGTGACGAGCTTTTACAGAATTTAGGAGCTTTTACAGAATTTAGAATATTTTCCTAAAACATTAACATCACGGACATGATGAATAAATAGCACACTCGTGAGAAGCCGTGACACAGATAACAGCGATGTTGGAGCTGAGAGATTTCTTGATGGTTTGCCTTAAAATCACTGGGAGCTTTCGGCTCCCTCCACAGCAAAATCAAGCTTGTATTTTTTGATTAAAAAAAAAATTGGGTGTTCTTTCTGTAAAGTTTCGCAACACTGAAAAATGACATATAAGAAAATGATAGACATAGTTAATGGAACATTTCGAGTATCACCCTTGAAGACAGCTCAAAAAAGTCATTCACTCAATCAGCCTTCCAAATTCAAGCCAGCTGTCCTCCTTTCATTTCTGGGCAGAGAGAGAGCCGAACGCTTTACACGTCCTCCGTGGCCCGTCAAGCTGAATGCCTTGCAGTTAAACAGAATGATATACTAATTTTCCTGAGAGTCAAGTTATTACAAAATAAAAAACAACCAATCATAATAATAATAAATGACCCCATAGTGGCTTGAAAGTAACAAAGTTTTGATATCCCTACTTAGAGTCTGGATCTCTTTGCATCAGCAAATGTGTTTAGTTGCCGTGGATTGAGGACCTACTACGAACCAGACACTGCTCCAGGTGACTTTCGCGCATGCAAATAATCCTCATAATCCAGCAAAGTAGGTTTTCTCATTCTCATTTTACAGGTGATGAAGCAGAGATTCAGAGAAGTTAGCTAACCCAAGGATGCACAGCTAGATAGAGCTGATTCTTGAAGTCAGCTTTCTCTTGCATCAATATTCTTTTTTATTAAAAATATCACATTATTAGATTCATCAATGTTCCCTTTTTCTTTTTATTTTTTAATCACCCATCTTAACCTCTTTCTGCAATTAAAATTTTTCTGTCATTCTAACCGTAAATCACTTTGGGGGGCTTCATCTGGTAAGCAATTACCACAAGTTAAGAATTCCAGGAGAAATAAATACTTCGTATTATCATAATATATATAATACTTCACATTATGATGATGCCCCAGAATTACTCATACATAATAAGTTCTCAAGAAGTATGTAACAAACTAAGTTGGAACTGGGAGCTCTGCAATCATCCTGTGGGGCTTCGTCTAACAGTGAAATCATATGAGAGCTTTACTCTCAACTGACTTTCTACACATGCATCTTGAGAATTGATTGGGAATTAATCTTTGGTCTCAAAAGTCTGTCTCCTGTGTCTGGAGCATTCAGCATGTGACATAACGTCTTGCACAGAGGGGGTCCTCAAGCTGGTGGACCTGAACCAAGCGGGTCGCAGCTCCTAGGCTCACAGCTGTGGACCTTTTTTTGAAGGACTGTGAGTTTTACATGTTCTGGCTGTGGCCTGGGGTGCCCACCATGTAGTGAGACAGATACTGTGCCAAGCACTGGCTCTTTCCAATGACAAATCTGACTTGCTCTTTGCCGTGGTTGAAGTGAGTTCATAGGATTATGGGGTTATTCCACTTACTAACACAGGCAAAGTAGCCCACATCTCCGGAGGTCACTGCTGGTGAACTCTGGCACAGCTCCTCTTCCCGTGGCAGCAGCGTCCGGATACCCTTTGGGAACCACTCCCACAACGACAGTTGGTTGGGCGGAGTGTCAACCTCAGTTCTCTGAGCTGCGACGACTCCTGTCTGGGGAATTGTAGATTTGAGGAGTGTGACACCAGCATGGGACACGTCTGACCTGTATTACACCCTGGTCTCCCACCCCATACCACTCGACCCCACCCCACCCCTGGAGCTCAGCCGTTCACTCGGCTGAGCCTCTGTCCTTCCCAGGGCCTCGTCACTGGGCTGTTCTCTTGAGCCCAGGAGCTGCCCCATACCTTTCAATGATGTTTTTCCTCCAGGTTATCCAGACTTGGGTACTTCTGTTTGCACTTAAGGAACTCAACAGTTGTAATTATGCTTAGCAGACTTAGAAAGGGTCTTCATAACGTTCCACGGCCTCACCTCTAAGGGGCGCAGCCCCCATGCTGCTCAACGCCAGATCCAGCCTGTGGCAACCACACCACCATCTGCAGAGGTGTCCCTGAAGGTTCGTGACGCCGAGTTACCAAATGTGAGACGACACAAAGCTGCTCAGCGTGGCTGAGGGGGGTCCCTAAGAGCTTCTCTGGCTGAATTTAATCCAAATCCCTCCAGGGGAATGAATGCCATTATACACACGTAGCCAACCAGACAGAGGAGCTGACTGTAGCTTTTGGAAACGTTCGGGTTCCATGAGGGAGATGAGCCCCCTATAAGGCTTTCATTACAGAGACGTTGGGGCTAAAAGGGTGGTTTGCAAGACCGCCCAGAAGATGCTTTTCATTTGTGTACTTTGTCTTATTCTCTCATGGATATCAAAGCAACTTTTAGTTTGTCACAAGATTTCTTTCAGGGAAGGTGCTGGGTGACCAATGGTCCTAATTTTTCAGGCTGCTTGGAGAACTTAATCCATTGGGTTGTATCTAAATTAAGTACTTAACTGGAGGGAGAGGAATTATACCAGAGAAGTAAATGGCCTACTTTCCCGTTCTCTGTAGGTTCAACAATGTCAGAGCGTTAGAGGAAGATGCCCCATAGCCCTGGGATCTGGGCCTGGCCTTGGAATGAATGTCTGATTGTGTCACACACTCGCCATGTCGGTGGTGCCCTAAAAGCCCGATATGCAGGGAGAGCTTTTTTTTTGAGGAAGATTAGCCCTGACCTAACATCAGCTGCCAATCCTCCTTTTTCTGCTGAGGAACACTGGCCCTGAGCTAACATCTGTGCCCATCTTCCTCTATTTTGTATGTGGGATACCTGCCACAGCATGGCTTGAGAAGCAGTGGGAAGGTCCGAGCTTGAGATCTGAACCGGCAAACCCCAGGCCACCTAAGCGGAACATGTGAACTTAACCACTGTGCCACCAGGCTGGCCCCAGGGAGAGTTTCATTTGGGTCACTATCATGATACTCTGGTGTTTAGTTCTAGCCAACTCCCTGCCCTTCCACAAGTGCTTTAACAAGCAGAATCTCTTTGGTAGAGAAAAGTCCAACCCTCAAGAGAGACATGGGCCAATGAATAAATCAGAGCCTCAGGCAGTGACATGGCTGAAGCTTAAGAACACACACTGAACTAATGAAAACAGAGTTGTGCAAGTATATGGACAGCATGATTCCACTTACCAAAGTGATTAAAATTTGTGCAAATTAATATTCTATGTTGTAAAGGGATACATAGATTTATGCAGTAAAATTGTCAGAATTGCATCAAATGGATTAATGTCATATTCAGATTAATGATTACTTCTAGGGAGAAAGAAAAGAGCAATGGAGTCGAGCGCTGGTACACCGGGGGCTTCTGGGTTATCTGCAATGGGAATTCGGGCAAGTAGTGCATCAGTGCCATTGAAGATGGAAATAATAATATTATCTACCTCATAGGATTGTAGAGAAAGGAGAATGTGAAAGTGGGTGTAAAATCCATAAAAGGTGGCCTAGTGCATAGTGGGATCCAGCTATCTATCTATCTATCTATCTATCTATCTATCTATCTATCTTTCTAGCTATCTGTCTAGCTATCTATCATCTACCTACTATCAATCAATCATGTATTTACCTATTATTTATCTCTCAATCATCTATATCTATGTATCATTATCTAGCATCTATCTATATGTCATCTATATCACTTATCATTTATCAATCATCTATCTATTTATTAATCAACTGTCTATCAGAGATTTACCTATTAGGCATCTCTTTCATCAATTAATTAATCATCTATCTATCTATCATTAGTCTATCTACCTATCACTATCTATATACCTATCTAATCTATTTGTTTAAAAGATAATCTGAAGCAAGTAAGAACAAAAGTTAACTTTGACAAAGTTGTGCAAGTCCCTACATGTTGATTGTGTTGCACTTTACACGTTAATTCGTGTTTGAAAGCATTACACTTTAAACTGGAAAGTGATGGGCATGGCAGTTCTCCTGGTGGAGTTTTGAGTTGTTGCTCCCTTCCTCCTTCCTCTGAGACTTTGGATGATTACATAAGCCCTCTGCCAGCGACAGTTTCCCACACTGTAAGTTGGGGGTAGCGATATCTGGTTTATTCGCAAAGCCAGTGCCCTTTTGTAAATAATATTAGCCTGTGGCTATTTGGTGAAATCACTAGAAATATTCATATTCTAGAGAGGTTTAAAGAGAACACTTCTGACTATAGTCTCTTTCTTCTCCACATCTAAGTTATGCTTATTTCTCCCTGTGCCAGGTGCATTATTCCTGAATACCATTAAGATGGTAATTCATTATGTAGCAGTAGGTAATGAAGACACTCTATGACCACTGCAAGAAGAACTTTATGTGGCTGTCTTTTTATAGTTCTGTAAAAGGGTATCATTGAGACTGCTGGTCTTTACAAAGAACGTTGCAGATTTTTCTTGTGTCAGTGCAGGCAGTCGCTGAAGCCATTGTCCAGGGAGTCAGTGGCAAACACCTGACTGTGAGTTCACTGGTTTTAAGAGTGGGCTAGGAGAGCTGGGCTGCAGCAAGAGTGTTCAGGACCACACAGGCAGCATCCTACAGTAAGTGCACACAAGGCAGTGTCGCACACGAATGATGTCCCCGGACACTAGGTCACGGTGTTTCCAGGAAGGTGGGGGGGATAGCCATAAAAAGGAGTTAGAAAAGAGTGTATGAGTGATATGGCTTCAGGGTGAGTTTTGGTTGGTTTGTTTGTTTGTTTGTTTATTTGTTTGGGTTTCTGCTATTTCTTTGGTTGTAGGTTTTAATCTTGGAAAGAGTGTTTATGTTGGAGGAACAGCACTGGCAGAGGGACAGGCGAGATCTTATACAGAAAGTTATAGACCAGATTGGAAGGG